ATGCAAAGGAGTCCCACATCTTTTAAGAACATAAAAAAAGAGTAATTAATTCCAACCAAATCAAACTTTGGCAATAAGTTCACTGAAGTTTTTATTGGCATCAACTGCATGTGCACACCTTTTTTACTTTTGTTTTGTGCTGAAAATTGGCATTTCTAGGACCACAGCCACCCTTTGGCAGCAATTTTCTTTCTTTATAATTAACTACAACTAGATAGCTTGCATCTGACTTTTGTTTCATACTTTTAATTTTATTCTATAATAAAGTAGGTTATAATTGGAAGTCAGAGATGATTTCAAATTTATCAAATAATATTTTTTTAAAAATAATTGCATAAATCAATGAAATTAATTATTATTATTTTTTATTTCATGCTTTTAATATATACAAATAATACTATACCAATAATAACTTGTAAATTTTTTTTTTCAATTCAGATATGTTAATCAAAGCAAAATACTATTTTTTTTTTTCTTTCCATGATGTTTACTATTTCCTTTATTTATTAGTAGCATGCGCTCAGAACCCCTAAACACTCATAAAAATCTCGTTAGATTTATGGACTCAAGCAGTTTAAATAAGGAAAATAATGCGATTTAGACACTTTTTTTTTCGGGTTTGAACGATGGAAAGAGAGCACAAATCGTGCATGTCAGATCAGCAGCTGCGTCATAGTTTTAGGTCAAAGCTTCATTTGATTGTTGGTAGCTTGGCATGAAGTCTGCTCCTTTGAGACCACCCAAAGGCCTTTTCCCAGACCCAGAAGCCCTTTTTTTAATTTTTTTGATTGACGTAGTTTAACTGCTTTGAAGAACAAGTTCCCTGAACGTTCATGACGATGGAAGCTGACACTCCATTCATCATTCATTAGGAAATCATTGGAATCATTTAAGGGCCAAGGCCCAAACCATCATTGTAATATTGAGTTTTTAGGCTCAGATCCCTCTTTTTAATACTCTTTTTCAGTTAACATTCATGGTTGTACTTGATGAAATTACTCCTCAATTTGTAATTCTTTTTACAAAAGATGTTATAATTTGGAGATAAGAAAAAATATTACAAGTATTAAAATTTAAATTTCAGATCCATTAAATATTATTTTAATTGTATGAAATAATTGAATTAATTTTAAATTCAAAATTTATAATTTTTAACCACTTTGAAACTCAAAATCTAAGCAGATAATCTTCTTCAATCCCTACTCATTTTGTTGGGGGGTTTTGTATTGTGGATTACGTTTAACATGAGCACAACAAACTAATAGACTGAATCAATGATTTTTTTTTTCTTTATAAAATTTTAAATTATTAATAATTGATACATTCATAATTTTTTTTTTCAATTTTGTTGATTATTGTTGAAACAAACACGGGATTCATTCTGCCTTGGGAAAGCAGCATGGATCTGGCTTTGACAAAGCGTATGCATTTGAAAGAAAACATCGTGCATTTTGTCTTTAATAAAACTCACATGGCACATCGTTTTCTTTCTTCCATTTTTTTTTTATAAAAAGGTGGTGTGTATTCATGTGATAAGTGTTGGAGGCTGAAGTTGATAGTATAATTTATTGTCCAATTTATAATTCCTTGATATATTCTCTTAATGATTTTGGGGCAAATATTATTAAATCATGCACGTAGAAGAACATCAAGGGTGGGTATGGTAGCTAATAGCTAGCTATATTCAAAATCTTTTCCAATATACCATGAGGTTAACCATGTGCAAATGAGACAATTAACATATTCTGAAGAAAATCCTTAGAGAAGCAGCTAGCCAGCTGATAAAAAAGACAAGAACCATGTTGTTTTTTGGTTGGAAAGTTGGGTGAGCAATAGGCAAAAAAAAAAAAAAAATCATGAAACTCATGTTGAAAGTCCTGGACAGGAAAATGAAAATGCCAGATAATAGTTTGACGCGGATTTCTATTTGAAGTAGGAAAAGATATAGCATGCAATGCAACAACGACCTGTAACAGGCTCACAACTTTAGTGGAAATTAATTAAAGCTTTGATAATGTTTGTTGCCTACCATGCAAATGCAATATTTGCTAATGTGATTTAACAAAATTTGGATTGGCCTTCAAATGGGTGGCTTAATTTGGATTGGAAGTTCTGTTCTAATTTCTATCACATGACAAATGGGCTTCTGAAATGGTCAATCCCAGAAGGTTAGTACATGACAACTGGGTTGAGGCCTGCAGTTTAAAAGAAGGGTTCATGCTTTCATATCAGTTTGGGCCAAAATAGAGTTGGAGACCCAAAAAATATGATAATGGCCTGGGGACAAATCCAAGAATGATGCTCCTTGTTTGGGCTTGCTCTCATTTTTATTCCCTTCAACTGTACTTTCTTAATTAAATCAGGAATGCCATTTTTATTACCCAAAAAAAAGAAAAAAGAAATGCCATTCTTTAGCTGGCATGAATAAAAATTCCTCTTAAGCAGTTAAACTCAGTAAAAGGGAAAAAATCTTGAACATTTTCCAAACAATGTCTTAAACTTTTAAGTCAAGTGATTCTTAATATAAATAAATACATATTATAATATCAAAGCTTCCCTAGATTAATTGAAAGGTTCTGAGTTGAAATACTACTCTTTCAGCTAATCTTTTTAGGCAGTAGAAATTACTGTTGCTCCTCATTTAATAGCTTAAACTTCTGGATTCATTGGCACACCACTAATGACAAATTGATTCCCCCAATGTTTTCCATCCCACTACATTATCATATCTCAAAATTGAAAGAACAAAACAGGAGTACAATTATTAAATAAAAAATAAATAGAGTACAAAAGCAGATGGATGGGATGTTTACTGAGAAACAGATATGGCGGAATATTTCAGTATACCTGGTTTCAAATTAATTAAATAAAAAATAAATAGAGTACAAAAGCAGACGGATGGGATGTTTACTGAGAGACAGATATGATGGAATATTTCAGTATACCTGGTTTCAAATTAACCCCAACAGCCATATGCCTATAGGCAATTATAGCTCAGGTTGAAACCTTAACAATATAACAAGACAAACACCAACATTATATCTTGTAACTTGTATCTTGCATGAACCAACTAAATTAAACCACACAAAACAACAGAATCAATGATTATTCATCAAACCTTTTAGGAAGAAGTATAGAGAATCTCCAGTTTATTCTTTGTTTTTCACTCAAATGTCCATCACTTGAAGAAGGAATCACTTCTATCCTTGAGACTTGAGGTAGTTCTGATCTTCCTTTTAGTCTGGTTGATGTAATCCGAAAAGTGATGATCCTTACCAATCCCACCATGACCAAGTCGAACCGCTTTGGGAGAATTCTCTCTAGATTCCTGATCATGTGACGTGATCCTCTTCTTTGTTTGATGGATATATTTGGAGAATGTATCTTCATTATGTTGTGCTGGTTTCTTACCTTCCTCCTTATTGTCTTGATTTCGTTCAACTTGGACTTGGATTTGCCCTTTACTCTTTTCTGCCTTAGGCTTGGGCTTTTTTTCTGCCTGCTGAGTATTACCTGGGGCAATTGGCTTTGGTGTTTTGCCATGTTGAGCCACCCAGGCAAGTGGTACTTGGCCATTGGTCTGGGTTGAACCGTTCAGGGCTGTTATAGGCTTTGGTTTCTCAGATGGTGGAGCAGGCAAGCTGGTGGTATAGTCAAACTTGATGGGAATTTCTGATCCTTCACTACTTGTAGGTTTGGGGCGCTGTGGAGATGTCAGTTTGGTTTTGATATTAAGGGGTCTTATAGGAGTATCAGAGTTCGGTACTGATGGATTTCGAGCATGTTTGGCAGGTGAAGAAGGTGTTTGTGGTCGGCTCGAGATACGACGAATGGTACTGAAACCAGGACCGAAAGTGATTGCTCTAAAGATTTTCTCACACACACCCTTGGGGCAACTAGTCTGATTCTTTTCCATTGATAGGAAAGGGAAGTGGAAAAGTTTTTGAGTAGGTTTTTGGTGAACGAAGTGACAAGTAGAAACTGGAGCAGCTGCCTACTCAAGATGGCAGAATAACGCGCCAGTTTTATACTCAGCATAAGCCTTGTAAAGAGAAATTAAGAATCAAATATTATTATTTTAAACCTAGTAGTCTCCTGATCATTCTCGTGTGTCATGTGTAAAACAAAGCTGGCTTAATCTTTGCAGAATTAAGATGGAAAATTTTGGCCAAGATTCCTAATGATTTCTAAAGTTAAAAGGGATTGTTTTTTTTCAAACTGATGTGATGGATCACGAAGTTAGGATCATATTCCCTTTTCTTTTTTTGCTTCCTTTCTCATCCCCATAAGCTAGAATCTAACCAAATGTACAGCTTAGAAAGCGCAAAATTTTCTCCATTTTATTTTTTTGACAATCAGCACACTCATAGCTGTTCTACATGATGAAAGAAGTTAGAAATAGGGAAAGTTTGATGACTTTGTGATGAAATTGAGAGGGTATCAGATTCGGTATCAGGGCTTGAAATATGAACATGTGAACAAAAGCCATTGAAAAGGTGACATGTTCAGGGCATGACTTCATGAGTTGGTGACGCTCAAGTTTTCTTGTGGCGAATCGCAATTATAATCCGACCTTCCCCAACCCAATCTAAAGTTCCTAGCTCACGAATAAAGTGGTGTGTAGTGTAGTAAGAAACCAATCAGTTTTACCAGAAAAAAAAAAATCTTTTGCCATTTGAAAAGTGAATATGACTGAAGGGAAGTTACCGAGACTAGATTCAGAACATTGTGGGACGTGGAAACCTCCTTTCTATCCGAAGCTGTATTTCTTTCAGATTTTCAAAGTTTAGATCTTGACTATATTATTTGTAACAGAACTTCCCTGTTGGATTCCAGACAGCCTTTTTTATTTTGTTGTAATTTACTTCTTTTTTTATTTTTTTAAAAACTTCATATACCTTCTAATCCAAACTAGCAATTTCTAAAAATCTGACCAACATCCATTGTATCTGACCTAATTTTCAGTTGAGTATTACAATTTAGTTCCTCAATATTCGTTTCACAAACAAACCGCGGCACCTGCATGTTTCTCGCGTTCTGTTGAAGGTCGATGCTTTTTTCATATAAATAGTACCATATTAGTAAGTATAATATAATCACGTTTTGTATGTTGACTATTACACAATTAAGCCACTTCCAAAATTAATGTACAAAATACATCTGAAGAGTCCAAAGCATCCTTAGCAAATCACCCAACTACAAAGATTTCTCGCCATCAATTGTGTTTCAAAAGATGATCATGATATACATACTCTATGCCATAACTAATTTTTCCAAAACCAAAAAATAAATAATTAAATCATAAACTTGAACTTGGGCAATGAAAACACACGCACACACACAAACAGGCTTGACCCAGCCCAAACCTGCCCATGGACAGTGCAACTCTGAATAATCTGCATCTTTGTTCCTGATTCCTTAAGGAAGAAAACACCTTTAGAGGTGGCGCAAATTTTTCAACAACAGAAATTGCGGGAACGGAAAAAATATAAACCTCTGCATCTGTTATTAAATTACAACATAAATCATTGGTCATTTGAAAGTAACAATTTAAAAAATAATCTAAACATTTACAGGACGTCAAGCAAATTATGAATTTACAAAAGAAGTGCTTGCTAGTCAATGGGGTTCTATACCACTCAAATCTTACATTTCTGACTAAAAACGTAGATCCTGGTTTTCCAGCTATTAGATTGCCACTTACCAAATCTCATAAGCAAGCAAAACTTCAATGGCGGAAGACTCTTACAATCTGCTCAATATGTCTCCGGCAAAGAGGACAGTTGGTCAAGTGTGAAGCGCATGTCGTACAACAGCACATATGACCACACCTGCATATAGTAAGCAATAGGTCTTTCATTATGGTTCTACAATTACAAAGGAGTAAAACTTAAACATAACCAAGTATGTCATAACTTATGAGTCTGTCTGAGTTTAAAAGTTGGATATGAAGAAACAAAACTTCAGAAGCCGAATTTGATATGAACACGTTTGATCATCTCACATGCTCGAACAAAATAAAAGAAAGAATCTATACAAGCTTTATGTATGGGTCAACCTAAATATTAATGCTGTCCAGAAACCTAGCAAGCACCAGTTGCTTAATGCCTCTGGCTTTGGCTTGTAAAAGAGGAACATCGAATTCATGTGTTACTCCAGCTAAATATGGAAATACCGTGTCAACCAATGGGCCAATGACATTCTAATGCACCTCTTAGCTGATTCCAGCCACAACCCAAAAAAGATGGAGGGAAAAACAGATGACAATCTTGAATCAACAGTATCAGCACATTTCACATCAGAGACAAACACCCATCCTTCATATAGAATAACTTAGAATTTATGCAAATTAAAGATTTTACATAATAATACTGAATATACCTTTAAAAAAATCCAGCAGACCATCTAGACCCCAGCACCAATAAGGTGCACAAGGAAAACATCTTATTTGCAACTCAGTATGAAACAGAGGCAACAAAAATTCTTTGAACTGATTGATTCAACTTTGTGTTGAAGACCGGATATTGACAGAATTAATTTGGTAATAATAGCTGTTATATAAGCTGAATTTTCAATGAGACTGATAAGCATTAAGCATGGTTATACACAGTACATTACGGAAATAGATGCACAAATAAACTACAGTTAGAGAAAAAGCCTTTATTCTCACAACAAGCAGTAACTTGTTAAATTTAAGTACTGAGACACAAACAAGCATAGAGGGCATAGATATGAAGGCACTTTGGCCGCTTCATATGCATAATTAAGACAATACAACTAGTGGACTTACTGAATGAAGACGGCATTGTACTCTTGCTCAAGGCATATTACACACAGATCTGGCATTATGTGGTCCCTCTTGGTTTCTCCATTTTCAGCTTTCCAAGTTGAATCTACAGAAATGATTGTGAGATCCCAACATCTTATACAAAAAAACCATGAACAATAACTATCCTTTAGACAGCTAGTAAATTACCTTCTTTATCTGGCCCTGATCTCTTAGCTGCAGCAGCAAGAACCCTGAACGAGCACAGTTTCACAATTCAGTTCGTTATTACAGGAAAAAGAACAAAAGTGGATGCTTGTAAATACATGCCTCTTAAAAAAGGGGTAATCAATTGTTCTCTATACTAGTCAATTTATATTCCACAACACTCATCAAGCATACCTTCGCCGCAATTCCCGCCGGCGTCTTCTCTCCAAAACATAATGGATTACATGCTTGGTGATTAAAAAGACACCAAAGATGGTCAGTCCAATCGATGCATACTTGTACCACCTAAATAATACACCTGTTATTTTCTTCCTTTTTTGAAATAATCATCAAAACTTATCTATGCAGGAAAAAAATGTGGCAGTAGTCTAAGTCTGTAATATTTACAACCTTGCCCACTTCCCAAGGTTGGAAATGAGTTGATCAATAGATTTGGGGGACACATAAAAAGGCCCTTTATGGGGCTTCTGAATCCGAATTGTTCCAATGTCATCCTTGACAGCCTACCAAGTACCGGAGAGACAAAATGAGGAGAACTGGTAAATAAACCAACTATATGACCCAAATATGGATGATGAACTCAGAAATTGCAGCTTTCTAAATTCTAGATCATAAAAACATCTCGAACTCAAAAAGTTTGTAACAAAGGTTCCATAATAGTAGGACATTAAAGAAGAGCCGTGGCACTGTTAATTGTCTGATGCTTCAAGTGAAATATTCTATTCATCAGGCAGTGGTATACAGGACCAAGGTACAGATTTACCATGGTAGGCTGGTCCTTGGTGATTATGCACAGATAGAAAGGCTGAAAACTGATACTCCATAAAATCAGTCACTTTGGATGATATAAAGAGATTAAACTGCAGCACGACCTTTGAATAATAACTGGCAGCATGTATTAATTATTTTGATGATAAAAGGTGAACTGTTAGGCGCACATCTAATCAGAGCCACAAGGAATGTGTTAAAGGTGAATTATCTTGAAAATTAAAAGTATTTTATAGAACACATGATGCATGACATAGCTTTGAACTTAAATGCTCTGTATACGCTACATGAATTCATTAACTAAAATGCACTCTACGCATTACTTTAATTCATTATTTGGAGAGTTTAGGCATGCAAGATCAGTACATTCTCCAAGAATTTTTGTACATTCAAGTTACATTTCAATGTCCACAATTGCCACCTTAAAGCTACTAGGAAGAACATAAGACAAAGCTATGAAAGCCCGCTCCTGGGTGGATGCTTCTTGAAACAACGAAATGCTCAAAGGGAAACTCAATACTCTAACCATACTAAACAAATGAACCTGCTTGAAGTTGCCAATAGAAAAATTGTATAAGTAGAAATCTAGCCGGTCAATGGAAGAAGACATATAATTTGGAAATTAGTCATAAAAAATGAAAGGAATAATATTAGACAAAAAAGTCTTTGTGCCATCAGAGATCAACTTAAGCTTTTATAATTATTGATAAAAAGATATTGGTAGTATATAGATGGAGCAGCAGCTTAAACTCCTAGGCAGAGCCAGAACTCCTAGGCAGAGCCAGAACTGTGGCCTTGGGCCTTGGCCTTGACTAAATGGTACCCAGGCCAAAGATCAATCTCAAATAACAGCTTCCAGTGTCTCTCATATCCATTCAAACTATCATCAAGCTGCTTCAGCACCAAGCTTTTAATGTTTTAAGATAAGACTCTAGCCATCCAACCACACTGAAACAGTCTTTTATTCGTTTAGTAGGACCATATATGCATCAGGCTGGACCGTTTTAAAATGAAACATAAGTAACCCAACTTCTTAAGGAACAACCTATCAAAAAAATTGATTTCCTACCATAATTATGTGCAAAAGATACTTTAATACACATTTTATCCCAGAATTTCAGGTGTGGTAAGGAAACAGCAGACTGCACCAAGTATATTAAAGAGTAATAAACATTTTCATTTCATAATATATTGACATTGTTGTATATTTGAATCTGCATTGATATTTCTGCATCATTTGCCTAAAATAAAGGCAAACTTTAATCCAAAACATACCTCACCCACAACAGTCAAGGAAGAACCAGTGGGAAGCACCCGCTCAATTCTCTTGACACCAAGCATCTAAAAGCAGAAGTTAATCATTATTAAGCTTGACCAAACTGAAAGTGTTACCATAAAATGGACAAGTTGATCACGGGGAAAAATACCTTGAGACCTTGGAGATAGTCTAATGTTCCACGTACAACTGATCGACCTGACTCTTCAAACACTTCACTTCCAACAGTTAGAGCAAAACCTGATGCACCACGAGCACCGATGACATATACATGACCAGTCCCATCATCCTATAATTAATAGTTTAAAGATATTGTCAGCAAATCTGCTACGTTAACAACTTTACTTGTTACACAGCACAACATAATTCCTTCAAGTGTGATTTCTAAAGACAACCATCTTAAGAACCCCAGCAATCGTAAAGAAATAATTTCAGCATACTACTCAAACTAAAAAAATGGAGAGAAATATGTTCTAACCAGGTACCATGGAACCTCTTTACTCATAGAAAGCATCAAAGCAGAATCTTGTATCCAAGAACCAGCATCATTGTGCTTTAGAAAATGCTGTTCAGCCTAAGGACATATGAACACAAATTTTGAGATGCAAGTAGAAAAAAAAGGATGAGAAATTCTACAATTAATTCTCTTTTAATTAAAAAAAGAGTTACCGTTTCCTCTACTATAACACCTCTTAATCCACTGTGTTCACAATTGATTGGTGTCTCAGAACCAACTCTTCCAGAGATTGTAACAATTAAAGGAAGCACTTTACTTTCAAGGTCAAGCAATCGAGCTGAAATGTAACAGAAGCATGGTATCATTAAGGAACGTGTCTTAGCACATGCAAATGATAGCAATTAAAAATCAGTCTCCAATTAAGCATATCACCTAACATTAATTTTATGATGAACACCTTTAGGGGTCATAACAAATGAAAATGCATATAAAACTCACACCACCAATCAAATACAAGTGTCCCATAGCCATTTTTCATTAGTTAATATATAAGTTGCAGGAGACCATTTTTCCAATGTTATTAGATTTTTTAACATGAAATGCAAACTTATCCTCAATATCAATAGGGAACAACCTTGCTGCCAAAATAAAGATCTAGCAGAGTGAACTTATTGCTACATTTACACATGCCCAGGATGTTCCAGCGTGGCAAAATAATCAATAAATTCTTAAATGATTAACAAATACAAAACCAATCCTCTTTGAAATTGATATATTATAAGTTTCCATGAATTATAAAATGGTGCAACAACTTAAACTACCTTCTTACTTAGCACATTTCTCACATTACTTCCAAAAGTTGTAGAAAGCAAAGGAAATCAATATCCAGTAGCTGTAAATCTCAACAAACTAAAAAGAATTCCAAAATCACATAAAAGGAGGAGGGAAATTGGGGCTACATACCCAATTCCTTAAGTTGACTGACTCGAGTGACTGTCTTGAGAAGCTCCGCATCCCTGCTCCACCATTATTAAGTACAGAACTCGATTAACACTTTTTGAAAAATTCGGTCAAATGCATTTGGCAAATAATGTCGATGAAAAGTAACCTGCCACTGCTCCTTCCGAGAAGATAGAGAGCGGCTGCACTCAAACAGCAAGTGAGGCCGCCCCATGGAATCATCTTAAAAGGAAAACCCTAAAACGAAACCCTAATTTCTAAAGACTTTAAGTTACAGCATTCATTCCTCGTAAACAAGCACCAAAGCCAATTTGATTACGGAATTATCAAATAACTTATCACACCAAAATTGAAACAAAATTCAGTATAATAAACCTAAAAAAATTTTTTTTTTTTTTTTAAAGCAGAAGGGTCGCTAAAATGGTGGGGAAAAGGTAGGTCGAAGGTGCAAAGAAATTAATGAAGTTATATCAATTTTGTTGTTGTTGTTTTGGTGTGTGTGTGTGGGAAAGAGAGGAGAAAAAAAAAAAAGAGAAGGAATTAGATACGAAATGTGAAGGAAAGGGCCAAGGAAGGTGATTATCCAAGGCGCGCAAGATTCATCACTGCCACTCTTCACCCCCAACCCCAATTATTCTTGAATTCAGTACAGAAAAAACAGAGAGAGAAAGAAAGAACCGACTTTTTTCGCCTGAGGCTGGGGCTCAGGCCCAGGCTGAAGCTCTTTCACAGCCCAATCAGAAACCGCTGAAGCAAAACATATTTTGCACCAAAATAAATAGTGGCATTAATGTAATTTGCATAGAATAGGGTTTCTATATCAGTACGATTCTTCTTTTTTGTTTTTTGGCCAAGGGCACGACAGGGTTTTGGTATAGATTTATATGAAACATAACTTTTTTCACTTTGAAGGCTTTTACGATGCATTTTTATACTTATAATAATTAAATTAGAAATATATATATAAATATATGATTCTTTTAGAACATATTTTTAAATGATGATGTTGACATAAGGATAAAATTTATGAGAAAAAGGATTCCACATTTAAAAACATAACCATTTTAAAGAAATAAAATAAAATCTATTCTTACTATTCTCCCAATTCATTTTTTATTTTCTTTAAAGTAGTACAAAAATTTTTTTTTAAATCGATCTTACTTTCTTTATATATTCTAATCCATCAAATGAGTCTTCATTTTTATGAACTAATTAAACTATTTTTAACTTTTAGAGGGATATATGCAAAATTTTCCTTTGAAATGAAATCAATATATTTTACCTTAAAAAGAAAGATTTTAATATTTAATAGAAATTATTATATTTTTACGTGCGAACTATATATATACATACTTAGATGCACAATGAGAATTTCGTTGATACCAATTTTATAATTAAACCTCTAAAACGACACAATTTTAACAATGCTTACCGTGCATACGTTGGGAGCCTCCTCCCACCAAGCATCTAAAGGGACTCTTAATTATTTAACATGCTAACTTTGGGGCTTCTTTGGAGTCTATGAGGTGTACATATATGCCTTAATTAGATGAATTAGCTTATTAAGCTTCTTTAGCTGAAGTATCAATTTGCAGAGCAAATTTAGAGGAGAAGGGTTGTCCTACAGAGCCAAAAAGTTAGATATATAACTAGGATCAAAACCGATGGCTTACCTGCCTACCTTTTCTTTACCATGCCAATTAAAGAATTATCAAATAAGGTCTTGCAATTGCATTCACAACAAAATTAAATAATATTGTCCTGGTTTGGAGGAAAACCACACATTAATGCTATTTAATTCTTCCATTTCCCTTGTTTTTTTTTTTTTTTCTACATTTCTATATGAAAAAAAAAAAGGATTGCCATATGATGGATGATGAAAGTAATTCATATATATGATTTTAATCTATATGTATATATCTATTTATATATTAAAAAAAAAGGTATTTGTCTGTTAGAAATTCGTTTATATATTAATTAACATCTAGCAATTGTGCAGCCGAATTTAGAAGTAATTATTCACGGAACTCTAATGCATGCGGCAGCTTTTAAGACACAGTTGCATGCATGGTTTTTGAGGTTTGATGGATGTTAGGGTTAGGATGATGCTGACTTATTCTCTATAAAATCGACATTCAAGCTAATTATTGCACCTGTCAACCAATCATTGCATTTCATATTTATGATTTTGGATTGCTAGCAACAATGAAAATGATACGTCTGCACTAATAATTATATTGGGGCTCGAGCTATGCGGAAATATGATCCTACCTAAATTAGTACTGAATGAGCTGAAGAAACTTTGTATTGGTAATTTGTCCTTCTAAGCAGCAAAAGAGAACCAAAAAAAGTTTCAGTACTCATCAAACTATAACTCTTTTCGTGAACCTGTTGGTTTCAGCGGAGACTTTTCACTGGTTGTCTTTATTCAACACATATGCCATGCTTTACATCTATCTGCCATTTTCATATGAACTCTGATTAAGTAATACAAAATACAAACTGAATAGAGCAACAATAGCTCATTCCCCCTCTTTGCTCAGGTAAGAATTAATGGTGTATTTGCCAACTGAGGTGAATCGGAGTAGTTTCCTGTTCGTATTAGGTCTGCAACAAATCTGTTTGCAGCTTCTGTATAATGATTTCCATCCCAATTTATATACTCAGCGGTGTTATTACATGGATTTGCTGACACTATGCTCCCATCCAGATCTTTAGTTAGGCCACAAGCAATCCTAGTGTCAAAATTCAATGGAGGTCCACCATAACCACAGCATGCTGCTAAACGTTGTTGGAATCCTGGAGAAAGCAAATATCCAGATCGTGTAACAGATGATGAACATGAAAAAGCATTGATATATGAAAGATGGACAAGTAATAGCTTGCTTACCATATAGAGAATAGTTTGAAATAAGGTTTAGCTTTATTGAGTAAATGTCAATGTAAGTGCAATTAGCTTCAGGCAATTGTGCCAATAACTTTAGACATATATCATGGAGTTTCATGTTGAAAACCTTAGCTGCTCGATTGTGTGAAATTACGCAACCAAGCTCATCTAGGTTCGAGGCGTCTTTTCCAAATGTAGCAATGATTCTTGGCAAGCATCCAAGGGGACCTGTGTTATGAATCCAGAAATTCCTTGCTCCTGCATCATATAATCTCTAAAAAAAAGCAAGAAAAAGAAATTAAGTATAGTAGTAGTAATATTTACTTAGATGAATCAGAACTGATATAATTTCTGTGCTAAAGAGAGCTTGACAGAACCTTCATTCCATCCTTGAGTGCTGACAGAAGTTTTGAGATCAAAGCAAGTACTTGTTCCTCCGACGTTGATGAGTAGAATGCGAAATCGAGATCATTCTGGCCGATATCAAACATGTAAAGGCCCTGCTTGAAATAATCTTCTGCAGGAAGATACTTCTGAAGTTCTTTATCTGAAAAAAAAAAACCATTTTTTATGTCAGTGCGATTTGTTGAATGTTATGATCACAAGTATGGGATTTTCTTGTGGGGTGTGGTTCTATTAAGGTTGGTATCAAAAAACCTAGAAGCTTGTCCAATGATGAATACCTTTCGAGAGTAACGCAAGAACTCGATTCTTTAATCTGAAGAATTGAGATATCTGAAGGTTAAAGGAAAAAGGATTTGGAGAAGCTGCATCAGCTGGAAGTATGGTCGACCCTCCGGTTGCAAAATTGCACCCTGTCTCGAAACTGGGAGAGCCAACAGAATCCAAATATGGGTTCAGGTATGGAAGCTCCATTGCCTCCACTGCCAGAACAAAACCAAAAAGTACAATATGTTAAATTTCCAACACATATTAGAATTAAATTCATCTCCAAAGACAAACATATAGAATAAAAATAGGAAGATAACAATATATACTTAGAAAATCAATGATTAAGCGACCATCACAGAATCTCCCAGAGGGTTCATGGAAGTAAGTTTCTCCATTAAGTGGTATCATCGGAAAAGCTTTTCCGGCAACTAATCCGCCAGTATCTGAATTTGAGTCCCCAAAGTTGAACACCGCTGGATAATTCAAACTCAAGGGGGTAATAGTGGGCCAAAAGGAACAAATTAGAGCTAGTTTTAGAAGAGAATGCATATTCATATTCAGAGCTATGGAAATGGAAGCTGAAGAAAAACTGACAAAATCTTTGGCAAAAACAAACAATAGTTTGGATTTCCTTAAAATGGCTGGACCATGAAGACAAAGGTTGGTAGGAAGTAGATTTCTTGCAGCTGAATGAAATTGAATAAAAAACAAAAAGGTCTGTTATTTTAGCCTCAAATTTAAACTCCCACAATTTACAGTAGTTTATTGAAACGCTCCATTGCAAAAATGGAAGAGTACGAAACAGAAAGGAGAGAGGCTAGAAAAATATTTCCAGGCTATCGATCGCTAGGATGTCTTATCTCCACGACTAAAGGATGTGGACATATTTTCTTCACTGAACTCATAATAATAAAACCAAAAAAAAAAAAAAAAACAGAAACAAAACAAATCACAGTCAAAGGACACTGAATCCACTTTCCTGGTGGCCTTTTCCTTCGTTGTTTGTGTTAGTACTATTATTATTTTCTTTTTTTTTTTTTATAAAAAAACCCATTGTTTTTATCAGACTTTTCATGCAAGCAGTACTTTTTCAGCCTTGTGGGATCAACCAAATGTTTTTTTGTGGGTTTTTCTAAAGGGTATGCGGTGATATTATTTAATTTATTTTATTAATTAAATTTTATTATTTAATTTTCTGATAATAATTTATAAGATATATGCTCTAATAAAACATCAAATATAAACGTTTGTTTTGGAGCAAAGCTCTCATGGTCTCATTTCGGACACTGGACAACAATAAGAGAAAGAGATTAAATCAAAATCTTAAATTTCAAAGAAATAGCATCGCCTAAAATGTAAGGAACCATAACAATTGGGGTCTATTTAGATGGATAATAAAATTAATTTTGATAAGATTAAAAAAAAAACTAAAAGTGATATCAGTTCTTATATCAATAACATTTGGTACTGTAAAAATAATATTAAAATCAATGATAAAATAATATATTTATAGATAAATGCAATAATTAGATAAGATAAAATATAATAAAAAATCATTAAAAATATTAAATTAAAATTTATATATATTAAAAAATTTAAATTATTTGACATTTATGAAAGTAATTAAAAATATTAAAATTTTTATGTTAAACAATGATTTTTTAATAAATAATTAAAAATTAATAAAAATGATAGCAATATATCAAATGATTTTTTAAATTTAAAAATATTGTACTCTCAACTTTTTTATTTACTATATATTTGATTACTAATTTATGCATTAATTTTATTTATTAAATATTATTAACTTGTTTAATTCTAGATGAATATAATTATTATTTATTTATATTAAAGTTTAAGGTTTTTAAGGGACATTTTAAGAAAAATATTAATTGCTTAAAGGTATAAAAATAATAATATGATAAAAATAAAATGTTATTTTTTAAATTAAAAAAAATATTTTAGTTTAATTTTTAAATATAAGAATAAAATTGTATTTAAAAGATATTAACAGAGACAAAAATATCCAAAATAAGGTAGGGTGGCTCACCACATCCATTAGGTAGCAATGGAGAATCGGCCATCCACTTGTGCCATGTCAACACAATCGAACCGTGGTTTTACCATCCAAACAAGAAATAACGGTGCAATTGCACGAAACAGGTGTTTGTGAACGGTTGCCGTGAATGAATCCAAATCCAGCCTGCGTATTGGGCCGGAAAAGAACATGTAGATCTATGTTTATAGCGCTGAGACAATTGGGGCGGCCGACAACAGCGTAGAGCCCAGATTAAATGGATCTCGTTACGATTAATAATCAGCTTCGAAAAAAACGCTCTTTTTTTTTCTTGTCTAAATCTAAAACCCTTCATTCAGAAACAAGGTTGATAGCTAAAACCCTTCCCCAAAAGCCAGCGCTGCAGCTGTAGCAGCAAAATCCCCCACCTGCCTGCGCCAGCGCCACTCTTCTGTACATAAAATCCTTTGCTTTTCTAACAACAGATCAAATCAAAAGGACAAAAGAAAATGACTGCGGTTGTCCTTCGAAACCCTAATTCGAGGCGCCTTTTTTCATTCTCTTCCCCACTTTACTGGTCCTCTCGTGGCTCCATCTATTCTTCCCCCTTCTCTGTCTCCGATTCTCTCTCTGGAAATGAGGCGGCGATTCCTGCTATAGCTAACCCTTGGTGGAGATCCATGGCTACTTTCACTCGCATGTCAGTTCTCTTCCTTTGATTTTGCTACATAAATTAGATCTCTTTCTTTTTTATACTTTCAACTCTCAAGTGCTTTCTGGGGGTTTTAGTTGGTAAAATTTGTGACTTTAAGAATAGAAAGGGTCATTCCTTTCCGTTTTGGGGGGTTTTACCATTTTGAAAAAAAAAGTGATAGGTTTTTTGTGAGGTTTAATGGGGGTATCTGTTGAAACATGATAAACTAACCATGAAAGGAAGAGATAGATGAAATTGGTTTTCATTTTAACTGTTGAAATCGTTTTCTTATTTGTATGATGATTTTATTTTCCAGAAAACCTCATGTTAATGTAGGAACAATTGGGCATGTTGATCATGGAAAGACCACACTGACTGCGGCAATCACAAAGGTTGGCTTATCATATGCTTAATGGTTTCTCTCCACAAATCATATCATTTTGGAATTGTTCTGAATTCGTTATTGCAATAGTGATCTGATGATTAGTTCGGTATTTTGTGAACAGGTGCTAGCAGAAGAAGGGAAAGCCAAGGCTATTGCCTTTGATGAAATTGACAAGGCCCCTGAGGAGAAAAAGAGAGGAATTACAATCGCAACGGTTTGTAAATTTTTGTGTTCTCTTGAAATGAAGCTGCTCACTTGAATTTTTTCCCTGCAAAGCTATCACACTTGATTTCATTTTGCAGGCTCATGTGGAGTATGAGACAGTTAAACGTCACTATGCACATGTAGACTGCCCTGGACACGCTGATTATGTTAAAGTAAGCCAATAATTTAATATGGTAAATGAAATTATGTTTCCAGAGTCTTTTTCTGCATAACCTAGCTGAAGATGTTGCAAAAAGAGGATGGAGCTAGTAGTACTAGAAAGATTTGTGATAAGATAGTGTACAGAAATGCCGAAGCTTTTATGCCAAGAAACATGCAATTTTATTTTGTAAAAGAAACCATAAACACTTTCTTATTGGGTTTTTTTTTTTTTTTTTTTGGGGGGGGCGGGGGGGGTGTTCTATTATTTGGATTTCCTTTATTCTATTTGTTCTCTTATCACAATGTCTGTACTACTTCTACTGCTAGTTTTATCTAATTTCACAATCATAGATACATTGAAATGATATTAACCATCTTGAATCTTTAATTCATTTTTGTTTATTAATGCACGACATGACTCTAACCATCAAACAGCTTATGAACAGTGGCCTAACTCTAACATGTTATGCAGAATATGATCACTGGCGCTGCCCAAATGGATGGTGGTATTCTGGTTGTATCTGCTCCTGATGGACCCATGCCTCAGACTAAGGAACATATTCTGCTTGCCCGACAGGTGGATACCACTACTAATAGCTGCTTGAAACTTATTTATCACGGATGTTTTGCCTGTAGTTATAGAGGAAAGTAAATTATTGACTTAGAAAAACGTATTTTTCTGCAGGTTGGTGTACCCTCACTTGTTTGTTTCCTGAATAAAGTTGATGCTGTTGATGATCCAGAGCTGTTGGAGCTTGTGGAAATGGAGCTTCGTGGTAGGTAGCCTTTTGAGTTATTTTGTCAACCTGTTATTTCTTGTTTGTTCAGTGCTGTCGCTTCTTTAAACTAATTCACATAAGTTTATGTTTGCAACAGAACTTCTTAACTTCTACAAGTTTCCTGGGGATGAAATACCTATCATTCGGGGATCAGCATTGTCAGCTTTACAGGGTACAAACGAGGAAATAGGCAAAAATGCAATTTTGAAACTAATGGAGGCTGTAGATCAGTATATTCCTGACCCTGTTCGCCAACTTGACAAGCCTTTCCTGATGCCAATTGAAGATGTTTTCTCAATTCAGGTAGAGAGCCATGCATTTTTTTTGTACTTATTATTTCTTTGGTTGACTTGCAAACCTTTGGCTTTGCTATATCAGTTGCTTTAGCAGCTCTTTTTTGTGGCTTTGATTATCATCAGTCTTGGTCTTTCTTCCTTTTTTGGGCCATTCAAATTCCTTTAGGATTGTGTTCAATGTCAGGTAACTAAGTTGTGGCTATAATATTACTGTCATTTACCCTTTTTTCTGTTTCATGTTAGTACGTGGAGGAGGCTGAATGCTTGAAAATGTGAGCTTTTTTTTCATTTAAAATGTGATCATGTTACTTGGCCATAAGTTTGCATTTTCTTTAATTGGAATTGTAGTCATATTATGGTCTGCACCTGTATTTCAGTAAAATTTATTTCCTATCGCATGCAAGGGCAATTTTTTTTAGTTAAATGTCATAAAATCAGAAGCAGAATTTTTGGAGTTAAAAATTTTAATTTAGCTGTAATGATTTTGGTTGGTGTCTTGAAGGGACGTGGAACTGTTGCAACTGGCCGTGTTGAACAAGGGACCATTAAAGTTGGTGAAGAAGTTGAAATTTTGGGGTTAATGCAGGTATATTTGTATATAGATTTTTTTGGTCATTTTTCTATGAAGTCCTTATGCATTTTCTTGTGATAAATTTGTTGGACTGATGATGTTCTGGAACTCTTAATCTGATTAAGTCAGCATGATGTGGGTTGTTTGATGAAGGGTTCTGTTGATTTGTTTTAATAAAATGCCTTTTACTTTTAGTTCTAAATTTAGCTTTCTTCTGCAGGGCACACCTTTAAAAACTACAGTTACTGGTGTTGAGATGTTCAAGAAAATCTTGGATCAAGGACAGGTAAGTGAACTATTATAGAGACTTTGCCCTGGTAAGGCTCTTCTGCATTTGGTATTGAACTATATTTATGCGTGTGGATACTCGACTAGGCTGGTGACAATGTGGGACTTCTTCTGCGTGGCCTAAAAAGAGAGGATGTGCAGCGTGGAATGGTAATGGCACCAACAAAGCTTCTTAACATTCACTTGTTCTCTAGCAGCAAATAGAACTTTTTGTAATAACTCTAATCTATTTATGATTTATCTGAATTTTGAAGTCACATTTGCCATTGACCCCTTGTTACACAAAACCTTGTGAATCTTTCATCCTTGGAGGAATATTTTACGTAGTATAGGAGAGAAAAGAGTTTTGCAGTAACATTTACTATTAGCTTTTGAAAGAAATAAATATTTTAATGGTAAATTAGTTTTGTTGGGCATGATGTGCAAAAAGAGGATGTAGTAAAACATCTGATTTCTTCCAACTGCTTAGGTAATTGCAAAACCTGGAAGTTTGAAGACATACAAGAGGTTTGAGGCAGAGATATATGTCCTCACAAAAGATGAAGGTGGACGTCATACAGCCTTTGAATCAAATTACAGGCCCCAGTTTTATCTGAGGACTGCAGATGTAACTGGAAAGGTGGAATTACCTGAAAGTGTCAAGATGGTTCTGCCAGGAGACAATGTTACTGCAACTTTCGAGCTGATCTCACCTGTGCCTCTCGAAGCAGGTATGCTGCAGTATTCCCTTTTTTCCCAAAAAAAAAAAATCTATGAAGTTGCTAATTGGAAGTTCCATTATAGCACATTATCTGTGCCGAGAAGAGTTTTTTCTCTTCCTAGTTATTGAAGTCTCAAAGCTTAGAAAATAAGACAGCCTTAATATGTTGCTTGCCATCAATGTAACAGGACAAAGATTTGCCTTGAGGGAAGGAGGTAGAACTGTTGGCGCTGGTGTGGTATCAAAAGTATTGAGCTAAGAAGTTGCTGTTCCATATTGTTGATGGTTTCTCATCTTGTTAGTTGCAGAATGGATCAGGTGAGAAAATCAGTTGGTAATATCTTTTGTTCTAGAATTGCTAAAGAGATTGTTAGTGATATGAAATTGGGGATGTTAATGGAAATTATTTTCATTCAATTTCCGGTGGTGCGGAAGTAGTCAGCATGTAATTTTTTTTCTTTTTCCATTTTCCATCTAAAAATCACAATTGAACAGCTTTTAAAGGTTATTTGAAGGTTATGGTACTGTTGAACATTTCTACAGTGCCATGTAAGCTTGGTATCTGCAAGTCATAACCAATCATTTTTCTTTGGAGTTGTACTTTTTTGTAGATATTTGTTGTTTATTTTCCTTTTCTTAACAAATTTGTAAAAAGAAAAGTTTTTCTTTTCTGTCAAAAGGGTATTTTCAGGGAAACCTGTCTCAAACCTTTTACTCGGCGATGAGCTTATCAAAAGCCTAGGTATTTCGAGGGAAACCAGTCACAAGGCTTAGGTGACATTATTATGAGGCAAAGTTGAAAAAATCTGACGCTTACCAATTTATATTATAGAGGTATAGAGTTACAAGTAAGCAACCACCAAATGTCATTGTTAGACTTTAACCACGTATAAAAAACGAAATAAGTTTAAGCAAGCATTGATAGAAACTTACCTTTACATGGATTCAAAATGGCAATGCTACAGCTTGCCTTTTTTGTTTCAAATCTCACAAAAAGATCCAAAATGGCTATAGTGCAGCTTGTTTTTTTGTTTCAAATCTCTCAAAGTTATATGATTTTGTTATTACTGTTATCATGGAAAAATCTCATGTGACAGCTCTTGTAACGTAATAATCTCATAGACCAGTTCTTATAAGCTATTTTCTGTAGCATTGAGCCCTAGGAAATCTGAGGAAACTATGTCCAAGCAACTGAATACTTGGGTGATTCAACTTTAAACGCCTATCATATATTCAGCAGGCCATGCCTATCCTAGTTAACGTAACATTCAAAGAGAGAAATAAAGTTCCCCCAGTCCATATAGCATAGAGAAACTTGACCCATTATAATCATCATTTGTAATTTATTCATTGGGCCTGTTATCATAGTCCCGTAAAAGAGCTATGAATCTTATATCGATTGTGTACTAAAATTAATCTTAAGATATAAGGATTCATATCCCTTTAACTTACGAGATTTTTTTTGTGCGATAAAATTATGAAGTTAACAGATCAGAACGAATAATACCTCATAAGTTAGTGTGAATTCTGACATTTAATATCAGAATTGACTTTGAGAATACTAGCAATGTATCACCGAAAACGGTGAAACTCCGTTGGACCGGTGAAAGAAGTCATTGTCTTAGAAAAGAGTGTACTAAAATTAATTTTGAGATATAAAGATTTACATCCTTTAAACTTGTAAGATAGTTTTTGTGAAACAAAATCGTAAGATCAACGGGTTAGAGCATACAATAATTCTGTGAACTGTGACACCTGTCTTGTGCACAGCATTCGCTTCTACAAATCAAATAACAATTATGGTTATTAAGACTAGCTTCAAATAGAATGACAAAATTGTATTTTTATAGATATGAAAGGAATGGTTCTTTTTACCCGTGAGGCAGTGACAACCCTTACAACTTAATGATTATTATACATACACAAGTTGACAGAGGATTAGGTCCTGCTCATATGTGCTCAAGGCCATCACAAGACCCTCATGGATAGCATAGAAGTCAAAGTTCTATTCTTGATATATCAGGCTTCACCTCTTCAGATATTCACGTCCAAGATTAATATACTTGAGTCTAACTTTCAGCTAACTAGAATATTGTGATTAGAATATCCAGCCATTCAAGATGTTATCCAAATGGCTAACACCGTCATGAACATGAGTTTTCCTCAGAATTCATGCAAACCTTAAAACTGCTACAGCCATCAATGTTGCAGCTCTGAAGTAGATTTCATTAACACTTTTCTCCACTCTCTTAATCATCTCCTCTTCCTTCAGACCAGACTTGCTAGCATTCTTGCTGATATGTACGACTGTGTCCCTCAGTCTGTTAACTGCCCATGAGAACCAAACTAGCCCAAAACCAAGGCCAGTGCTAAAGAGTTTAGACGTACAAAATGGAACTCTCCCACAAGCTACCTTACAAATAACAGAGAAAAGCACAGCAAGACCAGTCCCAGCAATACCAGCAGAGAATTGGGTCAAGAGCTCAGGAAGTTCAGGGCCAGATTTCTTCAGGGAAAGAATTGCTGTTCTGCCATGCCGTCTCTTATTAGCCATCAAGGAAACAAGGCTCTCACATGCATGGAAATAATTCTTTTTGTAGAGGTCTCTCTCCCTGGCTGACTTCCTAGAGGTCTTCTTCTTTGGTGATAGCTTGAACTTGATTTTCTCAGGACTGTCAAAAATGAGTTGCATAAGAATACAAGAAATAAAAACATGTTCTGAACAAAAAAAAATTCAAAAGAAAGCACCAAGACTATAGTTTTTGTAGAAGTTTACATTTTAACCATGTATAAGAACAAGCCATTTTTTAGGTCCCATAACTAGTGGACAATAGACATGTTGGAAGATACCTAATTCAACATAAAGGTCAGATCTGCCACTTTTAGCATATTTAGTAGATCATTTTACTTTCTATGATCCTATTTTTGTTTCGCACTCTATTATAATTTGTATTTCTGTTGATACATACTTTCCTATGCTCATCCCATTGCTATGGTCTTAAATGCAATTAACATAAATGAAGGACAGCAACTCACAAGTCATTATCCCTCCATCATAGAAATTCTACGCATAGAATTCAAGATCCCAAAACAAGATAAATTCCAATTACTTCAACTGGACAGTTTCCACTTTATTATATAGAAGAATTTTGGTAAGAGCAAGGGGAATTGATAAATGAGGTCGCAATGAAACATTCTTGAAACAGATGATCAGTCACGTACCTTTTTGGAGGTGCAACACTCGCAACTCCAAACCGTGGAGAAGACAGGTTAGCACTAGCATGTGCTTCGGTGCTCCAAGTCCTGTTTAATCGGAAGATTTTAGGGTCAGATGCCTTTCAAACAACACTGGAATCAACTTATTGTTTTACATTCCAATAAAATTAAACCCAAGCAACAAAATTTACTTAACCAAAAACCAGAAGCACAAGTAATGAACAAAACCATTTAAAATCATCAGGTAATAACACGAAAAATACAAATAATGACAGTAGAAATTTTCATCCTAAGCTTACTTTTCAATAATAGTGAAAATATCATAATATGGTGCATTCATAACAAGACTTGTTTGTTTGTACTGATAGTTTTCATATAATTTAAATCAAACAGGTGTTAGTTTCCATACCTATCGAAGTGTGGTACCAGTGCCAATTGCTTTCTCCACTTAGTTGAGTTGCTTGACAAGTAGAATTCAGCAACGATTGAAAGGATGTCTTTCATCTCAGTCCCACTAGCTATCAGCAAAATTCGACCATCTGGGTTAACTGTAATTTTCGAATTACGCACCATCTCTCCTACAAAGTCTGGGAGAGGCTTCTTGGCATCAATTTTGCTACTTGGATATATTAGAGAAGAAGCATAAGGCTGTTGATGCACGCCAAACATCAATGGTTGAAGTCCCATCAAATCAGATAGCAAAGATAAATCAAGTTCCCCTCTTTCCACTTCATTTGATCCCGACATAAGAAACTTCAAGATTTTTTCATGTCTCATGCACTTTTCTGCTATGCCAAAGCTAAACATTGCCATGTCAAGATAAGCATCTGCGACCAAAACAGAGTGACTATAATTATTCAGCAAAGACTACCGGAGAGGTGTTGAGCAGAAATAAATAAATAAATAAATAATTGACATTGCAAATGAACGTAGAAGTGTCTGAACAATAGTCACCAACAAAAAAGTTTTCTGCTTTCTTATTGGATACTACATTGTTGCAGCATTGTATCAATTGGATTCACCTAATCTAGCTCTTAAGATCAACTTTTTTATAATTATGAATCATAGAACCGATTTGAGTTCCATCCCAATTCAAATATACGAACTCTCACCGAGGTGAAGCAAAAATTTAATTAGAATGTCAATTAAACTTCATACATTAACAGACCTTCCTTATGATGTTTTAGGAAGAATTATATAAATTTTTTATCGAGACTCTAAGAACAAAAATTGATTTATGTCTGTTTTCCTTAAGTACACAGCACAAGAAAAAACTCTTCAATAAAAGGAACTAGGAAACAAGTTGCAGACCTGGTTTATCAATAATCATAGGCTTTTGCGCCATAGGATCAACATCTATAATCAGTTTAGGCTGACACAATGCAGTAACTGGTTTTGGCTGCTCCTGGAATCGGTTGCATTTCAGATCAAAGGAACCTGTTTGTACTATGTCTTGTTTCACTAGCTGACTTGGCAAGAAGGATTGACACTCCTGCTTCGGTCCAAACAATAAGCATTCGTTAATAAACAAATACTAATCCAATTCTTACAAAAATATTTAGTATTAGAGAGAGAGATAAAGAGCTAAAACACAAATTATAAGTAGAAAAATAAGAAAATAAATAGTTGCAAATTACCGATAGAGCAAATCTCAATAATTTCTAACTCATATCAAATATACACACATATGCCGGCACAAATTTTAATAAAACTATATTAGAATTCAATAAAACACAAAAAAGAAATCCAATAACTCGAAAATATCCATGTTAAAATGATAGAGAATTACAATTAAACAAAGAAGAATTAAAACAATTTAACAAGCATACATGGCCAACAGTAGCTCACAATTGAAAAATCAACCCCCCAAAAAAAAGAGAAACCCAGTCGAAAAAACAACATATCTCAAAAACCCAAATCATTAAAACCATAGAAAACAACCCCAAAACAATTACCTTGATCACCCTGCTAACGCCTTGCTCTTGGTGCAAAACAAGCCCCAGGCCCGGAGGGTACCCATGAGAAGCCATCAAGCAAAGTTTCATCATATTCTTTTATGGAGAGAAACCCAGTTCCCAAATTCTCACAATTCTATCCTCCCCTTTTTTTTTTGTCACAGAACCAAACACTTATCCATCTCTAGACCTCAAAATCCTGGATTTTCCTCCCAAATTTAAGTCTTTCATTTTAGTGGTAATAAAAAAAGACGCAAAATTTTAAGATGGGAAATTCAGATTTATGTGATCCAATTATTAGGAGGATTGAGAAATTTGTCCGGGCTTGGTGTCTGTGGCAGTCGCTGCTTTGAGAATCCGGATCCGGGACCCTTAAAAACAGACCAAAAATGTCGCTGTTTTTAATCTTGGATTCTCCCCAGAGTCCGGTTCCTTTTGTTTTTATTCTTGGCCGTCTGATTTTAATGTACGGATGTGATCTGTGATGAGATGTGCAAATGAATGATTGTCTTTTGTCAGAAAGGTTAAAATGGTGTGATAGAATACACTAGAAGCGAACCGTTATAAAAATCTGGGTGGAGCCACCATGCCCGGTTCAAAGGGGTTGACTCAGTGAGGTCATTTGAATTTGTACTTAAGATTACATTACATCAACCGTGAATTTCTGACTTTTTTTTTTTTTTCTTTTTCCTTCAAATTTGCTGGGAATTTATTCATGGTGGAAGCACAAAACCTTAGGCAATGTTTGCCTTGAGAAAACCAAGAATGATAGGATACTCAACCACCAACAACCGTTTCTCCATTGATCAATGTTTTTCGGATTCTAACTTGATTGGGTTAAAATCTCTAAACTCTTTAAAAAAATTTTATTTCTCATTATTTTTTACAAATAGCAAGCAAAAATTATTGTAATATATAGTTTTTGTATACGTTATAGTTTTTTTCGCTATCGCTCTTTATCAATTCCTACAAATTTATTCTTTTACAATCACACCTTCAAACCTTTGGAAGCTAGAAAACGAAATTATGAGTGATATACTGTGTAGTTAAAATATATGGAGTTTTTTTTTCTTCCATGGATTGGTCAAGTTCTGGGTTTCAAGCTCCCATTTTTTATTTTCTTAATAAAAATTCTTTTTTGTAAATATATGCTAGAAAATAACGATGTTAATAAATTTTAACTGTATTAAAGCCTAGGTTAATTAATTGTCAGTTTTTTAATCTCAAGGAGTAAATTTTCTTTTTTTTTTTTAACTTGACCACAATGTGTTTATGTGTGATTTATCCATTTATTTAATATAAAATTAATCTAACCTTCTAGTGTTTAAAAGGACAAGGCTTAAAATTTTATTTACTGTGTGTTTGAATTGAGGGAAGAGGAAAAAAAAGAAAGTAAAGGAAAGTAAAGTAAAAGAATGTAAAAGAAACAAAACTTATATTCATTTGTTTGGATAAATTTTTAATTTAAATAAAAAAAAAGTGAAAATTAAATAACTTTTGGTTTCTCTCGTAAATTCAATTTTTTTAATATCCCAATTTGGAGGAAAAGTTAAGAAAATAAAAGTTAAAAAATATTTTTTTTATAAAAAGATTATTATGTTCATATTTTTATTAATACTAAAAACTTAATAAAAAATTAAGCAGATCACAATCATTTTGTAATTTTTTCAAAGTCATCTCTTTTTTCAAGTAAGTTTCACATATCTCTTCTAATATAAAAATTTTTTATAATGTTTTTGTGATTTGATTTTGATGAATGGTTAAATATAAATAGATATATTTTATAGGTTTATGAGATGACAGATTAACTCTTAAAAATTCATCAATACATGTTTGTAAAATATCTTATTGTTTCAATTGATATAACAACAATTGTAAGACTAGCAATATAACAAACATATCATGATCCATGAATACTCTAAAATCACAGGTAATGAAATGTTTTAATTGAAAAAAATTATTATAATTAATCTTTTCATTTCTTTTTCATTATTTATCAAAGCAATAGTTGTTAAAATTTATTTCTTTTATTTTCTTTTATTAATTTTAATTATTCAAACATAGGTTACATATATCATTTTCTTTTATTTAAAAAACTTTTTTTTTCATTTCATTTCTTTTATTGATATTTATCAAAACATAGCATTAGTCTTTCAATCTTTTCAGTTTTAACTATAAAACAAACTCAACTCATCTAACCGAAACATCAGTTAAACGGTATTAAGTGTAAAAAATGTGATGACGTGGATTAATAGATGTGCAAGTGTCGAGAAGCGATTATCGAAACAGCTGCCCTAGCATTTCCTTGAGAAAATTTTTGTATTTTTTATTTTATGAATTTTAAAAAATATATTTATTTTAAGAAAAAACAATAATTTGTTTAAAAAATAAAAATAGTAAAAATACATTATTAAGTGACAATGAATATTGATGAAGGATGACAGTCACTTATGCAAATGGAAACTAAAATTTAAAAAACTATAATCTAACTAAATTCCTAATGTTAAATTCATTTTTAATTTTATTGCTTTCAAATTTTTCATGCTTCCCATACAAAAAGTTTAATGTTTTCAATTTTTGGAGATAGCACTATTTCCATATATTAAATGATCATAGTTTTGTACTATTAAAGAAAATTAATGTTTTTTTTCACCCAAAATGATTATTTTTATATATATATATATGAAAAAACTTATTGAGTTAATCTGAACTGACATAATAATAATAAGATGTATTTTTCTATAATTTATAAATTTTTAACTATTTTTTCAAGATTTGATCATAGTGAAAATGTAAATAAAAAATTTCAAATTATTTAATGATTTTAGGTATAAAAATAGCACATTATCAATAATTAATGAAAGCCTAAATATATGAATTTAACAGATAAAAGTAGTAAATATTTCGTAAATTATAAATCTCTTCCATTCAATTGTTTTATGTTAATTTTTTTATTTGTTTATTATATATGATATAATAAATTATATTTAAAAAATCATGTGATATTTGTTTACGTGATATTTTTATTTGTAAATGTAATTTTATATAAAAAAATCAAATGAATGTAACTTTTAAATTAATAAAAATTTTAAATGTATATTTTATATTATGGTCCGATAACTAATTTGAATGGTCCAATAACATAATGGATCATCCAAGCTCATTTAGACATAAATTACGAATGTATAAAAAGAATATATATATATATATATATATATAAAGCATTATTGCATGTTCGAGGGTTTGAACCTAAATTTTTTGGTGATTTATAATGAATAATAAAAATAACAAAAAAAACCATTATTTTAACTTTTTCCATCTTCTCCAAAATATTTTCATTAAAAATAGTGAAAACATCTTTCATTTGTTCTCTAAATTTGACCTATTTTTATTTTCATTAAAAAAAACATTTTTTTTTATTTTTACAATCAAACAAAAATTTCAACCCCATTTTATGCTTTATGAAAAAATAAAAATAAAAAATAACTATGTTCTTATGAATCGAACACACCTTATTAGTTTTTAGAGTTAGATGACAAAATCTTTGTTTCAAGGATTTGGAATTCCCATAAAAGCCATGGATAGATCAATTTGATCTTAAAAATTAAAAAATAAAATTAATTAATTTTCTTTAAAAGTAATCGAAACTATTGATATTCTTAATAATTGAAAACAATAGAACTAAAATAAATTTATCAAAATAGGTTTATCATTTGATTAATTAAATTGAAAAACCAAATTTATTCATCATTTTTTATCAATGATTTTGAATGAAAAATGTTATATTTGTCTTTTTTAAAATATAAAAATATATTTATATTATATATAATATATTTAAAATCTATTAAAAGTGATCAATTACTTCAATTATTAATTTTAGGCAATAAAAAATTAATTGAATTTGTTTTCTTCGAAATTAATTAGTCTCTAATGTAGTTTATATTTTTGAGACTTTTGATTTTAAAGAATTATTATAGATTAAAAGAAAAAACAGAAAAAAATTATAGTAATTATCAACGATAATGTATTTTCTAACTTAATTCGTTTATACAAAAGTAGAATAATGCATTTTGACTTTCAAATTTTACATGTTTGTGTATAATTCTTAAAAAAAAAATTTGTATCTAAATGACTTTTTACTTTTTTTTTTTTTTAATTTTTGAAAACAAAAAATAAAAAATGCATCAATCAAACGGAAACACAATTGAATTCAAATCCAATTAAAAGTTGGGAAAATTGGATTAATTTTTTTAACATATCCAATTTGGTTTTAATTTTTATAGTCGAAATGTTATTTGACACATCCATGCAATGTAGTGTGGAACCCTTTTCATTGCAATGTCCCTCTTATATTATATAGGACCCAAACACACCCTTCAAATGCCGGAAATAATCAAACAATAATTGACTTGTCATTAAAGCAGCGCACACCCATAAAAACAAAAAGGCTGACCAGTGGGCATGCATGAATTGAACGAATTAATTAGACTTTGTTTGGGTTTTTTATGCAAATTCCACTTTTAAATGCGTTTTAAAACCTATATGTGGATTAGGTATGCATGCTACTACTTCTTTCAATAAAGCACCCAGCATTCTTACCCGCCCAAAAAAAAAGTACCCAACATTAATTGAATTTATACTTTTAAATGGAAGTTGTGGCGGCAGCCTCCAACTTTTGGGATTAAAAAAATAATAATAATATATAAAATAAAATAAATATATATTGACATGTACTTAGTCGTAAAAAGAATATAATTTGATAATATTTATTATAAACTATATATTTAATAAAACTAATATTTAAAAATTAAAAATATAAATTATATATATTTTTTATTTTATTTTTTTATATATTTGATTTAACCTTCGGGCCTTGAAAGCGTACATGACAGGTCAACATCTATCGATGGTACGACCATTTATAAGCAGATTCAAACATCCACCTAACGTACGCTCTTTATCTTTTTGCAGATTTAATGTCTACACACGATAGGATTTTCAAGACCCAAATTAACTGTACCCTTGACTCCAAAGTAAGCATACCAAACCACCTCGGGCCTTAGGATCTCAGATTTAGGGTACCCCCTATAGGCCCCTCGAGGAAGCAAAACTGGTACAGAAAATAAAAGAAAAAAAAGGCATCTAAAATAATAATGGGGGAGGGCAGTGGCATCATGATTGTGGTAGGAAAACTATAAGGGTGTTCAATGTACGTTCCCCTGGCAGGAGCCTCCCAGACGTAGTCTCTTCATCACTCCACTTCACCAAACTTTGGTCCCTACCTACCCAGTCCTTTTATGGCAGCCGTGTCTTAACTCTCACGCGCCCTACGTTAGGGTTCCCTTAGGTTAGCGCTAAAAATAAATGTTTTCAATGGGTGCATGCGTTTTACTTAAAATTTTTTTATCATGTGATATAATTATTTAATTATAATAAAAAATTAACAAAATTAATTTCATATAAATTTTTAATAAATCATACAATTTTAAATTTTAATTATTTAATTATATTATAATAATTATAAATAATATGATTTCGTGTTCAACAATATAAAATCTTTGAAAATTTTTGAATATTGTATTTTATGTGCCAAATTTTGAGAAAATCAATATCAAAATATAATTATTGCTATTAAAAATTCAAAGAATAAAGATCAAGACAATGAGTTTTTATAATATTGTGTTCTAAAACACTTTTTAGCACTAAATATAATGATGCAATTTGGATGTAGGACTTAAATATACATATAATTTTAAAATGAGATTTTAATATTTAAATATCAACCCATGACATAATTTTCTTTAAATCAAAATAAAAAGTTTGAGTCCAATTAAACATTCTTTAATTATGTAGATATAGAATATATTGTTTTTACAAGTATCTTTTTTTTTTTCAAAAACAAAATACCATAATTATAATTAAAAAAATGAGATAGTTATATTTTAATTCATCACCACAATTTCCTCTTTAATTTATACTAATAAAATAATAAGAGCATGAAAATAGAGATAATAATAGTCCAATTTGAATTCGATTTTTTTTAAATATATAGGATTATAATATTTAAATTTTATTTTGAATCCAAATTGATTTTTCATTAAAATCAATTCAATTTAAACTGAATTTTATTAGTTTTATTCAATTAGATTTAACAATTTTTTAAATTTATTTTATTTTTATATATTATTTTATTATGATTTTAATATATTTAAATAAAATTTAGATATAAAATAATTATTTTATTTTATAAAACTTTAAAAATATAAAAATTAATAAAAACATATAACTATATTAAATTTAAAATTTTTATTTCACAATCCTAACTTAATATATAAATTTAATATCCTAATTTAATTCAAATTAAATAAAAAATCCAAACTAAATTAAATATTACAAATTTAAATTTAAATTTGATTTTCTTAGAATTTCCTTACCTTTTGAAAAAGCCTATAAATAATCATATCTACCAACATCAAGAAGTATTTTTAATAGTCAGATTCCTTCGGTCTTTATTCAAGAAGAAAAGAGAATAACGTGAAATTACTAGAATACTCATCAATTGACAGCTGTCATCGTCAAAAAAGTGAGTGGCGTCGAAATCCATGATACAACTTCTAAAGAACGCTGTGCTGCTTTACCTCAACCAATTAAAAAAAAAAAAAATATTTAATTTCATTGATAAAATGGAATTATGATAATTACGTACGTATGCCAATAAAGTCATCATTTTCGATCCAATTTCTCTCTCCGAAACCCTAGAAAATTCACTCTCCGAATAACTGAAAAAAAGATAGGACCCCTAAATTTTCTCAAAGAAATCCTCTCTTTTTCCGGGAAAATCCTTATCAATCTAAGAGACAAGAAAGTTTTAAAAGCAACAATTTCGGGTTAAAAAATTAGTTTTCTTGGGGAGTGCATATGGGGAGGGTTATGCGTGAAACGTCGAAATCATCCTCGTCTTCGACCTCCTCCGTCAGCGCCACCACGACTTCGACCTCTGTGACGGAGACGGTGAACGGGTCTCACCAGTTCAAGATCACGGGGTATTCGCTGTCGAAAGGTTTGGGGATCGGCAAATACATAGCTTCCGACACGTTCATGGTGGGTGGATATCTGTGGGCGATCTATTTTTATCCCGATGGGAAGAGCCCCGAAGATAATTCTGCCTACGTTTCGTTGTTCATTGCTTTGGCGAGCGAGGGGACCGACGTTAGGGCGCTTTTTGAGCTCACACTTTTGGATCAGAGCGGGAGAGAGCGGCATAAGGTGCATAGCCATTTTGGGAGGACGCTTGAGAGTGGGCCCTATACGCTTAAGTATCGCGGCAGCATGTGGTAGGGGTTTCTTTTTTTTTTTTTTTCTTTTTAATTTTTTCATTGGATTGGTCTTTGATTTGGTTAATTTGGTTGGAATTACGGGGTGGGTTTCGGGTTTTACATTGGTTAATCGTCTTTGGGTTGATTAAACTTTTGGTGGATATTGAGGTTTGATGCGTTAATCGTAGTTCTTGTTCTTCTGTTGTTTTTTCTAGTGGGGTTTCAAGTGCATTGCTGGGTAGTAAGAACTGCATGATGGTTTGGTTGTGGTTCTTGTGTTGTAATTTGTGATTCGCAGGGTGACTTTGTTGTACGAGGGCTGGATTCTGGATCTTTTTCAGTTTCATTTATTTAACTTTATGTTGGTTCTTAGGATCTGGGGTGTTTGTATAACAAGTGTGTTGCCTATATAGTACATAAATAGCAACATAATAGCCGTTGGAGAAATTAAGGAATGAGCTTGTTTTTGGTGGCATATTATTGACATCAAAAGAAGATGGGGTGGGGCTGAACATAATGTTCGCAAGAATTATGCTAAAATTGGTTATTGTGCTAGATGTTATTACTTATTAGCGACTATTATCTGGAATAAGCAAATGCATTATGCATTATGCTTTAACCTTCACTGCTGTTATTAGATTTTTAATTCTTTATTAGTATTATTATTTTGATTTTTCTTTCGTTCCCCTCATCTCGTTAAGATTCCATGACATGTATTTAAATATATTTAGAAAGATAAATATAATATTTCAAAATTATGTCTATGGTTCTGATGAGAGGTTGTTTGGATTAGTGACAAGAAAGAAAAAGTCAATTATTTTGTAATATATTTGTTTTTCTATTAAGGGTTACTTTTGTTAAATATTGTTTCTAAGCATTGAATGTTTTGAGGCTAATGTTTTAAGTGTTAAGGGTTTGTATATGTTTTGCAAATTGCCTACCAGGTTGATTGTTTGTCTAGATGGATTATTTTCTGAAGCTATGCTTTTATCTGGCGTGTTTTGGGCTCAATGTCAACCCATACAGTTTAACCTTACTGCAGCTTGGGTGTTTTGTGACATCAAGCATTTGGTTACAATCAAGTCAGAAATGATTGACTAAAGACATATGCAACAACATTATCACTATCCTAATTTAATAACTGCTTAGCTGGTGTCCCTTGGTTGCTTAACTACTCTAATTGTTCATGATGTCTGACCTTTTACTAACTAGATATTAAGTGTTTTTAAGAAATTTGTCGGTTGATATCAGAATTTAGGCTTAGCCACTTGGCCCATGGGTTCTTAGCTCTCTATATTTGTTGGGGGATTTGTCAAGTTCCAGGTTTTGACTCCTTAGTCTCCCCCCTCCCCCTCCCCCCCCCCCCACCCTTGAAAGATAAACAAAATGAAGAAGCATATTTTTCTTGTTTCCCTTATTCTTCATTGTGTATGATAACTTTTGATGAGTAGACAAGTAATTAGTTTGATTTGCTGCAGGGGATATAAACGATTTTTCAAAAGAACTCTACTGGAGCAATCAGACTACTTTAAAGACGATTGCCTCTCTGTTCACTGTAGTGTTGGTGTTGTTAAGTCACATACAGAGGGTCCTAAGATCTACTCCATAGCTGTTGTGCCTTCAAACATTGGTCATCATTTTGGACAACTACTAAAAAGCGGAAAGGGAACCGATGTAAGCTTTGAAGTTGATGGGGAAGTTTTTCCTGCCCACAAGTTGGTACTTGCTGCTCGTTCACCTGTGTTTAGAGCACAACTTTTTGGTCCAATGAAGGATCAGAATACAAAGCAAATAAAAATTGAAGATATGGAAGCTCCTGTTTTTAAGGTTCAGTACACTACCTCGTCTTCTTATGTTGGTCAAAAACTCATGCTACTTCTTATCCATGATAATGCACTGATGATGGATGCGTGGCTTCAGCTTGCCATGGATAGCGTACACTGGGCTTGGATGCATGATGGCAACTTGCCATTGATAGCATGCCTGATTCCGATAATTAGTTAACGAAAACTTCTCGAAAGAAACTTTATGCTGGGGTGGCTGATGCTTTGTTTTCGAAGCCAGAATCATGGCATGTACTGTCTTAAGCTTTTAGTTAATTGCTTCATATAACGCACGTGTGGGTGGTCAATGGTTTTACATGATAGACTTAGCTCATGAGTGTACATTTCTTTACAATTTCTGAAAATCATGATATTCATGCCTTATTTAAAGTCTTCCATCATTTACCTATCTAGCAAAAGCAAACTGACTGTTAATAAGTATGTAATCTATGGTACTGATTACTGATAAAGTGTTGTCTCTATGGCCTATTTTGCACTTTGCAGGCCCTACTTCACTTTATCTACTGGGATTCTCTGCCTGACATGCAAGAGCTCACTGGTCTCAACTCAAAGTGGGCCTTTACATTGATGTCTCAGCATCTGCTTGCAGCTGCAGATAGGTATGGACTAGATGGGCTGCGATTACTTTGTGAGGCAAATCTTTGTGGGGATGTTGCCATTAACACTGTGGCAACTACGTTAGCCTTGGCTGAGCAGCACCATTGTTTCCAGCTGAAAGCTGTGTGTCTCAAGTTTGTTGCAATGCCAGAAAATCTAAGAGGTGAATCTCTTTTTATAAATGATATTTACATCTATGTTGCATCAGGGTATGGTAAAATTGTCATTTTATTTGGACAAATGCAATTGATTATGCTAATTATCAGTTTGACATAGGTTATTTGTTTCCTAAACTGGAAATCATTGAAATTATGGACCGTTCACTGCAGGCAACCAAATTGGTGACGGAAAAAGACTTGTTTTAAAATAAAAGCATAGCAAGTCTTCTTGTAGCTCTTTAATTCTGGGCCTTTTCTTTTCAGCTACACAGAAGTTGGTTGGAAAGTAAATAGGTTTTACATTATTTAAGATTTGTCTTATTGTAATATTGAGGGTCATAAATGCCACCGCTAAATTCTGTAACAGCTGGTATCACTTATAAGTTCCACGTTGTGCGACTGTGTCTTAGCCCTCATGATATTATATAACCATTCTTCTTGCAATCTAACTGCTATCCTTGAGACATTATTTAAGATAAATCTTATTGTAATATTATGGGTCATAAAAGCTTAATGTCTGTTTCGAGCTTCTATTATGTGTTGTTTTTTGTTGAAAGCTTGGATTTTTCCACCCTTCATGCAACTATCCTTAATTCCTCATTTGGGATTTCTGTGGGTAATATGACTGGATATTGCATCATGCAAGGGTTGTTGCATTATAAATATCCATAGTTGTTAGAAGATTTAGCCCGTTGTCAGCATTCTGGTTGTAAAGTTTGTCTTAGTGGGATAAATGTTGATTTTTTTTTTTTTGTTAACAATGTTTCTTGACTACCTTTGGTTTATATTCTTGTTTTGCAGCTGTAATGCAGACTGATGGCTTTGAGTACTTGAAGGAAAGTTGCCCATCTGTCTTGACAGAGCTGTTGGAGTATGTGGCTAGAGTAAATGAGCACTCAGTGATTGTATGCAGACATGCGAATGAAGCCATCCTCGATGGAAGTGATGCCAATGGTAGGCGGGTGAAGCAACGACTACAGTAGCAGCAGCTGGCCACATTTTCCAGTGTAGTTGAAAAAAAGGAAAAAGAAATGAAAGGAAAAAAAGGAAATATAAAATCTCTAGAATTAGGAAAAATTTTCCAGTGCTAGAAGCTTGGGTGGATTTGTAAGAGATGTAAATGTAGTTGTTCATTTGGTGTTGATTTGTTTGTTTTGTGATGGGAATGAGAAGCGTTTCCAAAATTGTAGGTTTTTCCATATCTTGGCTTTTGACATTACTACTTATAGTTGGTATTTACTGTGATTACTGGTGTGTATTGAGGATTGATTGACGTCCTAGAAGAAACATTTTGAGTCAGCAGCTAATGGTTACAGACAACAAGAGTTTGTCAATGTATTGTCCGCTCTGGCCCCCTGGCCTCACGGTTTTGTCCTACAAAAGGCGCTCCTCAAAGGCGAAGATGGTGTGAACCCTTTTATACGCCCAGGGAGCCTTCCTATTATGTTCGATGTGTGGATTCAGGACTCCCCCTTAGGTCCGTGACATTCTCCCCCACCTGATTGCGCAACGCCCTCGTTGCGTCTTCTGCATGGTACTGCTGATCTGGTCCCCGAATGCATAAGTCCTCTGCTGGTTCCAGCTCGCCTCACTGTCTGGAAGTCCTTCCAGCGCACCAAGTACTCATGTCTTGGTTGATAGTTTCTTCCGTCTCACTTCCGCGGTCAGCCATAATGCTGTGGACCTCCTTCTCATATGACGGCCCTTGCTCCCAACGGTGCACGCTTTGACTCTGCCCGTCCTGGATCTCCCTCATCCTCATCGGAACGGCTTGAGCATGCTCACATGGAACACGGGTGTACCCTCGGCTTGGGTGGCATATCCAGCTTGTAGGCAACCTTGCCTACTCTCTTGACTACTCGGAAAGGTCCCTCATACCTCCGACTAGGCCTTTTGTGAGCCCCCTGTGGCGCACAATGGGATGCAGCTTCACCAACACAAGTCTCCAACCTGGAACTGCACATCCGCCCTCTTCTGGTCTGCCACTTCTTCGACTCTTTGGCCGCCTTGTGTAGACAAACTCTGGCCAAGTCAGCTTGCTCCTGCCATGCCTTGGCAAACTTGTATGCTGCTGGATTCGGCCCTGTATAACCTGCAGCAATCGACACCGGGTGTTAGTGGTTGTTGCCCTGTCACAACCTCAAATGGGCTCTGGTTCGTTGCCTCGCTCCTTTGCAAGTTGTAGGAAAACTGCGCAATATCCAGTAGCTTTGGCCAGTCCCTTTGTGTGGCACTCACATAGTGCCTGAGGTAGACCTCCAGTAGTCCATTCACACGTTCTGTCTGCCCATCGGTCTGCGGATGCATGCTGGTGGAAAAGTTCAAGTCTGACCCAACAACAGCTTGAAACAACTCAGTCCAGAACCTGCCCGTGAAACGCCCGTCCCGATCACTAACAATGGTCCTCGGCACTCCCCAGTACTTCACCATGTTCTTCAGGAACAATCGAGCTGCCTCCTCGGCTGGGCACTCCTTGGTTGCTGGAATGAAGATTCCATATTTGGAAACCTGTCCACCACTACCATGATGCTTCCAACCCTCTGTCTTGGGTAGACCGACTATAAAAGTCCAGAGAAACACTCTCCCATGGTCGCTCTGGCACTGGCAATGGCTCCAAGAGACCCTGGTTTTCTTGAGCTCCACCTTGTCCTGTTGGCACACAGACAAGTCTTCACATAGGCCTCCACATCGTCCCTCATGTGCGGCCAGTAGTACCGGTCCTCGATCAGCGCCAAGGTGCGGCTCACTCCCGGGTGTCCAGCCACCTTGAATCATGACACTCTTGCAAAACTTCCTTGCGGAGCTTCCGTGCTGCGGCACAAACAGTCTACTGCCCCTGGTGTACAGCAACCCATCCTGCAACCAAAACGCGCCTAGTCTTACCTTGCTGGGCGTACTCCATCAAAGCCTTGGCTGTAGATCATGCGCAAGTCCCTCCTTGATGCGCGGCACCAGTGACCCCTCTGGTTGGCTAATGGCAAGCAAGGTTAGCCTTTCTGCTCAGGGCGTCTGCCACTAGGTTCGCCCGCCCGGCTTGTACTCCATGGCCTGAGGGTGGGCCTTGTAGTCCCAAAATCAAAGTGGGAAGCCGCCAATGAAAATTAAGTACTAGTAGTAGATTTTTTACTTTTTGGCCAGTAATACTGGAAGTAGTTCAAACAACCGAAAAACCTAATAGAAGGTTTTATCATCATCATAGGTTTTAAGTTTTGCAACTCTGCTATACACCACCTCAGCTCTCAGCCTCAGACAGACTCTGCTCCATCAAATTTTCATTTTCATCTCACCAAAACCCAGAAAACTCTCCCTCTCACTTTTTGAGCGGAGGAATAAAAATCATGGTAATCTTCTTTTTCCCTTTTCCTCTTTTTCGTATTAGTAACTTTTCTTTTGTTTTCTGACCGCTAAAATCTTTTTTTTTCCTTTTCTTTTTAATTCAATTGAGTTCGTAACTATTTTCCCCTATGCCTTCTCTAATGGGCTTCCCTTTGACTTTTGTGTTTTTTGTTGGGGGGGGTGGTTGCAGTTGTTCTTTTCGTATTTCAAGGACTTGGTGGGAAGAGAAGTTACGGTGGAGCTAAAGAATGATTTGGCAATCAGAGGAACCCTTCATTCCGTTGATCAATACCTCAATATCAAGCTCGAGAACACCAGGGTTGTCGATCAAGACAAGAATCCTCACATGGTATGCTCCCTTTTTTTTCTTTTATCTTCCCTCTGTTAATTGGATTCCCCCTTCATTTTCTTATTATCATTGGGGTTTATCAAGGAATTACCCCAAAATTAGGTTTCTAAAAAGTTAGGGTTTCTTTTTTCTTTTTGTTAAATCCTTAATTGGAAGAAATGAATTGTGTATGTTAAGTCCCTACTTTTTCTTTCACTCCAATCGGCCCTTTTTTCTTTTTCTTTTTCTTTTTCTGGGTAAACATGAGATGAGGAAAGCTGAATTTAGTGCTTATCAAGAATTTTTTTTTTTTTTATACACGCTGTCTTCCTTTATTTAGATTTTCTATTTTTATTTTCCTAGCTGATTTTGTACCGAATGGCTATCACTGTATGCTTTACCAATGTAGCTACTTTGTAAATTATCCGTTAACTAATTTTCTCCATTGTTTTACTTCTCCAATAGAAGTGATGAGTCTAACAAACTTTTCTTTTTTTCAACAGTCCAAAGTCCAAAAACTTCTTATCTTTGTTTGTTATCATTCTTCTGCATTTCTTCTTTGCATCTGAAATGCATGCTTACCTTTACCTCTGGTGAAATTCAATTCTGTTATCGTCTATATTTCTTTAGTATTTTGCTTTGCATGAATAGTATTTCTCTTCCCTGTGCTATGTCAATGACAAATATATCTTTTGTGGTTTATTTAAATTAGTTTACTCTAATGGGAATGTCTTATTTCTATTTTTAACCCGTGGTTATAGAGCAACAATCTGAAAATTGGATTCAGGAACATTATGTTTTGTACTACAGAATATGCCTTGTCCATGTTAGTATGGTGGTACATGGTCTTTCATTTAGCATATAGAATTATTGATGCAGGATGAACATTCCCAGTATTATGTCCCGTCTGAAAGAGTCTCATCCTAATATTTGGCATTGGATTCAACTCAATGTAAAATCTATATAGTTATTGATGTTGCCAAGAAGAGGAAGGCAGGAAAGCCTATTCAAACAAGGTAATATATATTTTATGCTGTGTAAGAAAAGAGTAGCAATGCAATCCAACTTGTTAATGTCCAAAAAAGGGCAATCCAACTTGTTTGGTGCTATGAAGGTTAGGTTTGGCTTTTTGGTTTGTGTTGGATCCAGCCAAACCTGTCACCTTTTACCTCATTAAAGTGTGCCACAAGTGCTTTGATGTTGGAATGTGTCAAATGTGATGTCAATCTGCTGATCACTTATGATTTTAGGTTTTGCCAGTTTTTCGCCACTTCTCTTTTCAAAATACATTTGTTTTGAAACTTTTTGTTTTTCTTTTGGCTTATGACACAACTGTGTCAAGTCATTTCATGTTTTGACTATTGATGATTGCTTGCTTTGAATCGGGTTTGGCTACTAGGCATGTAAATGGAGTGATACACATGTGAATTTGACATGGAAGTCCCAGTTTTAGCGTGTAATATGTATTTGATCATCCTTTTTTAGTTTTTGGAACTGAAATTATTTTCGTGCTTGCAATGATCTACTAACTCTTTGAGTCAAAGACTGGTAGAGCTTTGAAACACTCTATTACTGCTAAATGGGATTTCTTAACTTTACATAAAGATGGTTCTTTCACTCACTCCTTCTTATATGCTATCAGTTTTTCTGTGCTTGCTTTCATCTATTTCTCTTTTATCTTTAAATTCATCCTTCAGTATGAAGCCATGCATCCCCTGCTGGTTTTTGAAGTTATCCCGAACGTATCACCAGGTTGTATTGTCCTGTCACCCTATACCCATAACATGCGCCTTTTTTTGACTTCATTGTACACTGGCCATCTCAGTCTCAAATATACCAGTCTTCTTTTCAATCTCTTCACATCCTTTGGGCTTGATGTCGCTGCTTATGTTATGTCTGTACTTTTGTTTTTCTCTTTTCAATTTTGGTCGGCTGAATTGATGAGTTTCAGTTTGTTTACAGCTTTCAGTGAGGAACTGTTTTATCAGAGGCTCGGTTGTGAGGTATGTCCAGCTACCTCCTGATGGAGTTGACATTGAATTGCTTCATGATGCCACAAGAAGAGAAGCTCGGGGAGGCTGAAAAGCATTTGTTGACAAATTCAGTTTACTTTAATGGAACATCTGATTTGGATACTTTTTGCTTCAAATAGTTTCGGAATTAAGCAAAAGATAATGACTAGCTAATGATCATTGATCCCTCTTTGCATTGATGTAGACAAATTGATGTTGGTTTGTGTATCCACAAATGTTATTTTCTGAAAGAATATTTCCTTATCGAAGAAGACGTGTACAATGCTGGTAGCTAGTTATGATGCTGTGAAATGTCGATTGTTGGGTACGAATTCTGAGGATGAAGTCTGAAATATAGGCTGTGCAAAGTGTGTAGCAAGAGTGTTGCTGTGAAATGTTTCGCGTGGAACTTGGTTTGGTGCAATGCTTGGATCAATAGCAAGAGCTGAACTTGTTGACATTAATTATAGGGTTTCAATTTCATCAGATCAATAATTTCCCAATTAACATGACTCCTTACCATCCAAGGAATAAATTTAGTAAGCTGGTAATGGTAATTTTCTTTTTTCAGAAGAGATTCCTTGTTGATTAGTAGTTTTTACCATTCCTAATTTCCTATATGATACCAACTTGCCTTGACTCTCTCAACAATTGGTAATAATTTATATAATAAATTTCTCTTGATTCTTTTAGTCGGACCTGCGGTCACCAATTTCAGTTTTGGAAGCTCTGCGGTTATGCACTAGAAATTATCACATTCAAGGCAATCAAACCTGATTTAGATTTTTTTTTTTCCTAGAAGTGGGATGTCAGTTACCTTATCTTCTGAGGACATTTTGAAAACGTAAAATCTACATCATTTACGGAAAATCATTATCTTCTCTAGTGCACAGCAAAGTTTAGGCTTGATTATTTCCATTTTCAAGCTAAGTGAAGCATCAAGATTTTCTGGCCAAGAAGGGAAACAGAAGAAAAAATCATCAAGAATTTTCTTTTAAATAGCCAGCAACGTACTTCGAGGCACACGTAACTACATTACTCCTCTCTGCTCTCCTTACTATCTTCTGAGAACATTCATTTCCTTTAATCCCATCACTCATATTTCTCTGTTTTGCTAAGGTTCTCTAGATTCCAATGGGAGATTATCTGAATGTCCCGGTATGCATCTGTTTTTTTTAATATGTTTAGTACCCATAGTTTCTTTTTCATGGTTTTCGATTTCTTTGCAGACTTGTGTTCTGAAAGTGAATATCCAGTGTTGTGCAGCATGTCCCAAGAAGGTGAAGAAAAAGTTGCAGAAAATCAATGGTATATTTCCTCCATGAAAGAATGTTAATGTATAAGATATTTTGATTCCTAAAGAAGCCAAAACTTTTAAAATACTTTCTGATTTCTTTCCTTTTTTTTTTTTTCGTTTGATTGTCACTTAGGTGTGTATGCTATCGACATAGATACCAAAAATGGAATGGTGTCCGTTCGGGGCATTGTCCAACCCTCTATACTCATCCAGACAATATCAGAAAAGGTTGGCAAAAAAGCAGAGCTTTACTCCTTTGAGAAGAACCCCAAGATTCAAAACGAAATGCTAGACCAAGGCAATAGTTGTTCTGCTTGTAAATACGAGGAAAAGAACCAAACATGTTCTTTTACCACTGATGAATCTAACGACCATGATCAGGCTGTCCTTAATGAAGTTAAGGACCCGATACCAGAAGTGCCCGAAGGCTCACTTTCTTGGCATCAAACACAACATCGCCTGAGAAAGAAGAAACACAGGTTTGCTGGATGGATTGGCAAGAAGAGTACTGTTGAACCAAGAATGTTTGGCAATTTTGGAGGGCCAAGGCCAGGATATTCAAGGCTGCCACATGCAGCGACGGTGCCACCACTATCACCTCCAACTCTTCCACCGCCATCATATAGGTAGTATGGACAGCATCCACCACTTTATCCCTTCTCACCACCTTAACGGATAGCAAAGCTGCCGTGGCCGTATCCATAAGATTTCTGTGAGAAGAGGGAAGGGAACCACCAGTAGGCAACTCTGCTTTTCACTCATTTCGTAATGATAATGTTAATGCTTGCAGCATAATGTGAGCTGCTCCAAACGTGAATTACTTCATCGATTATCACGGGAGTGTTTTTCTATGTTATCCTAGTAGTTTGATTTTTATTCTTTTTTCCTAGGCATTTATATGAAACTGTCAACATTCATCTAAATTGACCGTTTGAGTATTCGATATTTCAACAATAATTTTCTGTACCTTCAAATTTTAAAGGTTTCCACGTGTCTTTAACGTATAATTAACTATGTATATACGGAGATATGTTCAAACATGGAAAATGTTAGTCATCAGTGGCCAAAATATATAGAGAAATGCTGTTACAGGCATTGTATTACCATGGAAAACCGTTACTTAAATTTCAATTTATGATCAAACAGATGCATGGCTTAGCTTAGGTGACGAAGCTGCACGTGCTTGAAAGAGAATCTGGGTGTCTTGGTTCTCGCTGGTAGCTGGTGGTGGTTGTATTGCAGTCGGATGATGGTATAAGGGTATTTTTGGGTTTTCAAAAAAATTTATATCACGTTACTTTTTCAGACGGAAAGTTAATTCCAAATCAATTTCGGGGGTAACTGGCATTATCACTAAACCTCAGGGGGGGGGGGGGGGGGTCTGAATCATTTTCCCTAGAAACTTTGATCAAATTTCACTCCAAAAATATAAAAAAACATACGTTCATATTCAACGGAAAATTTCCCCTCATTCTCATCTTCGGAGCAAATTCAGATGGCCTCGGAACCCGATTCTTTAAAATCCCGAACCCAAAGGTTTCATCTCTCTCTCTCTCTCTCACTCTATATATATATATATATATATATATATATATATTTATATGGTTTATCTTGTTCTGATCGTTGCCCATTCATTGATGAGATATGTTTGGACGCTTAGAAAGTGTAGGAAATAATGTGGAAGAAAATGTGTCATTGGTTCATTTACTTTGTTTTTAGTTGATTTTTATTTCTAGGTACTAAAAAAGAAGTAACAAATTTCTTTATTTCCTTTTTGTTACCTTTCATTTTCTGGGAATCCCTTTCTAGCAGTTCTTTTTCTCGAGTTTTTAACTAATTTCTTAGCCATTTTTCTGGGATTTCAATGCTACTTATTTTCAGCTACACTTTTTAAAAATTCTTAGTTCTTTTTTCTTTGTTAATCTTGTACTTTGTTGCCAGGGACACCATGATTATGGGCAATTAAAGTTTAACTGTTCAAGTATGATACTGTGAAATTAGGGAAAAAAGATATTGCTGCAAACTTCCAATTTGCTGCTTCAGTAGCCTTTTGTTCTTGCAACACCTAAGCTCTATGATATTAACTCTCCATTTAGATCTTGTGCTGATATTGTCTTTGTTATGCTTGACGATGATGCATTGGCTGTGCTTATAATGCAAGTAAGGTACAGTTTCTTTGTTTGTTATTTTTTCTTACAGGCACAAATGCCCTGCATGCTATAAACAATTTAAGAGAAAGCTGCATCTTATCGAGCACATGAAAATCTCATACCATTCAGTTCATCAACCTAGATGTCAGGTGTGTCAAAAGCACTGCAAATCTTTTGAATCAGTGCGAGAACATATTAGTGGTAAGATAATATGCATGTTCATTCTCATTTGTCAAAATTTTTATTGTATAATTGTTTGATATCTTTCCTTTTACTTAGGTCCATTGGCAAAATCAAATTGCTCGAAGATTTTTGGGGACCAAGGTTGCAATCTTTGTTTAAAAGTTTTGGGTAGTCCCTCTGCCCTTAATGAACATAAACAAAAGTGCCGCCTAACGGCTCCTGTTCCCCTTGTAAGTAAACTTTATGAAAGTATTAAAATGCTAATATAGAACCTTATCACTGTAGAGTTTTGGCCCTCTTCCCTTCTTTATTTGTCTATAATATTAATCAGTTTCATTTGTCCTTTGAAGACATGATTGACTATATTTGTCTTGATTTTGTATTTTGGATGTGTCATTTTAAGTTCCGTGACAAAATAAATCATGACAAGGAAAAATAAATGCATGTTGGCTAAAGTTGAGAGTAGATGGTCGAGTTTCTTATGCATAGTGACCTTCTAAACACATTCATATCGCGTAATAACTTGTTTTGAGTCATAACTTGATATAACCTGAATATTATGTTGTTGTTCCAGGGAGCAAAGATGACGCCTTGTATAGAATCTCATGTTATTACTTCAGGTTCAATCATGGATGAAAAGCACAATATTAAAGTTCAAAGAACCATTGCTATGGATTGTGAAATGGTTGGTGGTGGAAGTGATGGATCAATTGACCTTTGTGCTAGGGTGTGTCTTGTTGATGAGGATGAGAATCTAATTTTGCACACATATGTTCGACCACAAATTCCTGTCACTAATTACAGGTTTCCCTATGCACCGTATTGTATTTGATTTAAAAAATTCATCTTAAAGGAACTACTGATCATTCCTTTATTTCCATATATATATATATATATATATATATTTCAGATATGAAGTAACGGGGTTAACAAAAGACCATCTGAAAGATGCCATGCCATTTAATGAAGTGCAAGATAAAATAATGAAAATTTTGTACAATGGAGAATCTGTTGGAAGGATACCCCTAGATGGGGGAAGGGCTAGGCTTCTTGTGGGTCATAGCATACATCATGATTTGGACTGCTTGAGAATAAAATATCCTGGCCATCTGCTGAGGTATATTGAACTATTTCAATGGCTATCAGTGCAGCAAGCACATCTAAATTCCTTCTTGAAATATGGATGTGTGGAAAATGGTGTTTGTATTTTTTAATGAAACCCGCTGTATTTTTTGTGTTTCCTTGCTCATCCATTGGCATAACTTAGTTCACTTCTAGCTCAAACATATACTGATATTAACATTGATATATAATCAATTAATTGCAACACATTAGTACAATGTTCCAGCACCATTAGATATCCTTTACAAATTAACTCGCTCTGTTGTTCTTGTGTCTCATTTAATCGTATGCTTTATGTATTGATCACTTTTGAATTTTGTGCAAGGAATATATTGGCTTTGTAAGGAAATGATGCAGTGTGTAGTCAAACATAGTGGAACAACGGTGTTGTTGAAGGGTTTGGGATAATTTTAGATTTTGATCTTGTTTTCACTTTATTATTTGACATGGAATTCTCTCAACAACCCTTCCCCCTTCCTGCCATTTTTCTCTGATCTTTATCCTTATTAAAATAAAAATTTTGTGTTGAAATGTCCTCCCTTTCACAGGCTTTTCTATTGTGCAGGGACACTGCAAAATACCGCCCATTGATGAAAACAAATCTTCTTAGCCACTCACTGAAGCATCTTATCAAAACATATCTAGGGCAAGTTGCTATTTCAGGATCTACATTACACATTTTAGATTACGAAATTTGCTGCTGCTGCTGCTCTCTGTATCTTCATTTTCTTTTTTCTCTCTTTTTCTCTAGCATCATTGTGTATTGTTTTATAGGTATGATATCCAGTCTGGTACTCACGATCCATATGAAGATTGTGTATCTGTGATGAGACTGTACAAGAGAATGCGTGGGCAAGACCATCATGTAGAAGAACTTGGAGATAAAAAAGCTAACTGCGGCTTTGATTCTTTCAGATCCACGGAATTGGATAAATTGACTCCGGATGAGCTATATGAGATCTCTACATCTGATTACAAGTGTTGGTGTCTGGACTTCAGCAAGGATTGCAGCCCTGTCAGCTGACTGTCCATTTGTTTTGAACTCAACTTTTTTAATCAGTGATGCCTGCAAATTCCACTGTGTCCCCTTCTATGGGTGTCATTGGGCTTTAAAACTATTTGAATTCACTGTGGTCTTCCTTGTGTTTTAGATTTGGCCCAAACGTTAATATTGACTCAAATCAATAACTTTAAGCCCAAGTGCTTTTATTTGCCAAGGATAAACCAAAAAAAAAAAAAGGGAAAATAACATAAGAAACAACAAAATTATAAAGAAAATATATAACAATAGTTGAGTTATTAGGTTTACTGTGCCATCTTTTAATTTGTTCTTTTTAGAATAATATTCTTTATAAAAAAAATATCAAAGTACTATGGGGTAAAAGAAGTTAAATAATATATATATGTTTATATATATGGGTGAATTGCAAATGAACACATTTTTTGTAATTCTTTTTTTTTTTTTTGTGTTTCTATTTTCATTTTAAAAAAATCATTATATTAAAATAATTTTCTAAACAAAAATATGCAATTGATTAAATGATTTTATTTTTTTAAACTATAAAAGTGTTATCCCCACTCAAAGCGGCCGAAAGATAAATAGTTAATTTTATTAAGAAACTTCGTCCTTAATGGCAGTGCAAGTAACCATCCTTATGGACCTTATCGAATGCAAATGGCCAAGGATGATGGGTAATTGCCTTTCTAATCTTCTAATTTTTTGAAAAAAATTAAAAAATTAGTTAGGAGAGAAAGTTATCCAATTTGGTATTTGTTTTTTTATTCTTATATTTACTACTTAAAGTAGAGATTAGAGAAATTTAACTACTGTACTAAATTTATTCTGTTTCTCTTAAAACCAAAATAACTTGTTAGTTGATGATGAGATTATTTTTTTAATTTTTAATTTACCCTTAATTTCTTAATTTTAATTTATTTAATTTTTATATATATAAAGAACATTACATATTTAATTTGTTTAATTCATAATTTCTAAATTCATATTTTAATTCACATAAAAATATTACATGCCTTAATCTTCTTAAACCCTTAATACTCAACTGATATTTATATTTTCTCTCTTAATTTGAAATATTAACTTTCAATTAACCTATATCGGCTGCAACCGATCAATTGTCAATAAAAGGTACAATAACAATAGCCAATGGCCAATAAGTCAACCCCTAATTGAATCGATTTGATTAATTAACAACAGTTGTCAATGGTTCAATGTCATGACTTAAATATCGAATTAGTGGGCAAACAACAACACCACCTATCACGTTGTGATTTTATTTTTCGTTGTTCTTTCATTGGCTTGTAACTATGATATAACCTACCTTACTACGCAATAATTATTTGACATTCATAATCAATTTTTTTTCCAATACTAATCCATCATAATCTCAACTTAATATTACTCTCTCTCTCTCTCTCTCTCTCTTGGTTTCAAATTTATCGCCCAATTTAACTTTTACAGAATTTAAAACTAAAGTGTTAAATTTAATTTAATTTAATTTTTACGTTTAAAATTTTAAAATTTTTTTATTAAATTGATATTCCATACCTTTTAATAATATCCAAATTTGAAAAAAAAGAGATATTGAAAAGATGAAAAAAAAAAAATATATAAATAAGAAAGAAATAATAATATTATATTAATCTCAAATGATCTAGCTCAAGAAGAAAAAGGTGGACTAGAGTTCCAGTACATCTAAGACTTGTGTGTCAAAACAGTGCTAAAATATATATAATTTAATATTTTTTTTTTTATTATTCAAATATATATTCCACAATCTTATATAATAATATTTAATTTCATATCTATTATTAATATTAATTTTATCGTAATTAATATTATTCAAATATAAAATGATTGTATATATAATATTTTATTATTTTTTAATGATTTCATAAAGGACAAAACAAGCATTTGCTAAGAATCTAGGATATTTTCCACCGACAGAAGAAAGCATGAAGATTTAATTCTCATTCCCAATCTTTAATTAATTGTAGAAGAAGGAAGCCAAAACTTTACGATTTCAAAAAAAAAATCAAATTTTAACCCAGAAACGTTGTACTGTTGATTTGACAGACAATAATAGCAGATGAAAAATAAAACAGCCGGCCCCAAATTTGACTGTCCCGTTTAACGAGTCAAAAGCAAGCCCAAACCCCTTTCACACATTCCCCAAATCTAAAGAAAAACCCCGAAGCATAAGTTCTCTTCCCCATTAACCCATTATATGTATGTATTTTCTTTCAATCAAGGTGTCCCCACGTATAATCTTTGGTTCCAACACCCAACCCAAGGTTAACACAAACAGCAATAAAGAGACCTTGACGCAACTCTCTAATCGACTGAGTCCACTGTTAGATCAAACTTCACTGGACCACCACCTTGCGGCGACAGTTGCAGCGGCAGCCGGCATGGCGGTGTCTGTTCGAGCGATGGGTCCGGTGTGGGAGTCGGTGTTGGAGCACACTAAGTCTGCTCAGGACAGGAATAGTGACCCACTTCTCTGGGCGGTTCAGCTCAGTTCTAGCCTTAACTCGGCTGGGGTTTCTTTGCCTTCAATCGACCTAGCTCACCTCCTTGTCTCCCACATCTGCTGGGATAATCACATGCCCATCACGTGGAAGTTCCTAGAGAAGGCCTTGACTGTCAAATTCGTTCCTCCTATGCTCGTTCTCGCCCTTCTCTCTACTAGGTCCGTTCCCTTTGTTTTGTTTATATATATTTAAAAAAATGGGGTTGATGATATGTGTGACTACATCGTTTGAATTTTTGTGGTATTTTTGTATTTTTTTTGGGTGATTGTATGTCTGTATTGGTTGGTTTTGGGTTTTTGAGCTGAGTGGGGATTGAAGTTGATAGTATCACGGTTTTTGAAGGCCTTAGTTTAAGTTTCTAAACACAATAAGCTTCTGCAGTTCATGGAATATAGCGTGCTGTAGATTTTGTGAGCTTTTGTCGTGTAAGAATTAGCCATACCCCCGGTTGCCTATTATGAATTTTGTTTTAAATTGCATTGCCATTTTACAAGATAATTACAGTTGTATATTTACATACTTATGTATGCATGTATATACGTATGAGCAAACGTACTTGTTTATGTATTATGTATGTATGTTGGGAGTTCCTGCCTTAGGGGAAGTATGAGAGGTGCTAAGGTGTGGCCAAGGTCAGTTGTTATGATGTATATGTGTTCATCATTCAAAGGACCTATTTATAAAAACTGTTTTTCATTCATACTGCCTTTCTTCATGTTATAGCCTTATTTAATCAATGTATAAATATGATAATGCCAATATTCTTAACAAAATAAACTCATTATCCTGTTTCATCAGGAAAGATTATACTTAATTATAGTATTTGCTTCTGTTTTTCTTTCTTTTATATGTATGACTCAAAAGATTGTTTTCAAATGCCCAATTGCTAGTGTGCGACGAAAAAATTTGAGGATATCTGACAATGTGTTTTTTTGGTGGTTTATTTCTGTGGTTTTTTTTTTTTTTCTCTCTGCTGGTTTTGAAATTATATATTAGATTGTGATCATTAAATAGCTATATTTTGGGTTTTTTGCCCAAAACATTTGTCTTTAACTTTTAAGTCCACCAGCATATGTTGTCTAACAATGGGTGGCCTGTGAAGTCATGATTTTGCTTGGATGCTGCCTACTTATGTGATATTTCTAGTGAAAATGATTCCATTTGGTGTCTATGACAGGGTCATTCCAAATCGTAAGTTCCATCCTGCAGCATATCGGCTTTACATAGAACTGCTTAGGAGACATGCCTTTTCACTTAAATGTCAAATCAATGGACCAAATTATCAAAAGTAAGCTTCAATTTCACCCCCACCCCTTTTTCCATAGAAGTAGAGTTTGTTTAAGTCTTTAAGATTGCCATTCAAGTTGATCTCTTTTATTGCCTATGATAAATCCAAGATTCATCATATCTATTTTGCATTTTATTTTATCTTATTATCGAAGACATATTATTATCTAGAATATATTAAAGAAAACTATATAGCATTTAAGAAAATAATGAAACCTAAATTTCAGCTGCTATTTTGTGAAAATGGTTGGATCTGATTGTAGAGCTTCTCTCCTTTGCCAATGTATCACTTCATATCTTTTCAGGGACACTTGGATAAGCAACTGCAATAGTATTAATGCAAGTTTCTGGTGAAATTGCAGAATTATGAAATCAATAGATGATGTTCTTCATCTTTCCCAGATATTTGGCGTTCAAGTGTCTGAACCTGGTCTACTTCTAGTTGAATTTGTTTTTTCAATTGTATGGCAACTACTTGATGCATCACTAGATGATGAAGGGTTACTGGAACTTACACCAGAAAAGAGATCAATATGGCCTACTGTACCTCAAGACATGGAAATAGATAATGCTGATAACTTTAATGAGAAGAGAAATGAGCACCATGATGTGCTGCATAAAGGAAATACTATGATGGCTATTGAGATTATTGGGGAGTTTCTGCAAAATAAAGTAACTTCAAGGATTCTTTTCTTGGCACAGAGAAACATGTAAGTACTTATACCTGTTATTAATTTTTTGAGGCATTATGGTGCTAATTATATCCTATGAATAAGAGAGCAATGAGAAAAAAGAAGCAGTTCATGTGGTGCCTTTTCACTTTATGTAATGCCATCATTTGGTGCAAGGATTTGATTTACTGAACTTTGTGTGGGATCCTGGTAATACGAGTTAATTGAGTAAGATGTGACTAACACTTATATTCTGTTCCTCTTCTTAGGCCATCACACTGGGGAGCTTTCATCCAGCAATTAAAAGTTCTTGCAGCAAAGTCAGTGGTATTGAGGAATTCAAAACATATAACTCCAGAGACACTGCTGCAGCTGACATCTGATACACGTAAAGTTCTGTCTAGGGAATGTAAAACAATATCAGAACAAGAGTTTCGTGCTGTCATAGGCTCCAAGTCTCTAACATCTTCATTTGGTCAGTGTCACGGAACTAGTCCTTCTGCACATTGGCTTCCTATTGACCTGTTTCTTGAAGATGCTATGGATGGATCACAGGTGGCTGCAACCGGTGCTGTTGAAAGACTTACTGGTACTTGTTAATAAAGGTCTTCGGATGCTCTATTCATTGGTTTATTTGAAGCAGAAAAGGCTCTAGTTCCTTGATCATTTTACTAAGGCAGAGTCAATCTTGCAGGTTTAGTAAAGGCTTTACAGGCTGTCAATGGTACA